CTGCAGCCATAATGCTTCGAGGAAAAAATATATACCTTGTTGCTTGCTATTTTTGGAGGTAAATACTTACTTAGACGTACTTTTTACATATTCATAACAATTAGTCATAATGTTGAATATATCTTTTTAGTTTTGTAGTTAATATTTTTGGAGCATGCAAATGGTATTTTCAACACCATTGATACAAGTTTGCCTTTGATGAGTTGGGGGAACAAAGATATAGACTTATTGTTAATGAAAATGGTAAGTGTTATTAGCTGAGAGTGCAAAATGGTATATTTGATTTTTATAATGAGTTGAGCATGCTAATAGTACATTTTATTTCCTTTTTAATTAATTTATAGGTTTCAAGCAGTTCTGGGAAAAGATCATCCCGAGGATGCAAGTTTGCAATCATCTCCAAGGAAACAACACAAAAACAACGGGGACGAGCTGCTTCTTTGTGATCATATTGATGCTTGTTTTAGTAAGATGGGGGCTAGATTTGAAGACTTCAAACAAGATTTTAAAGTCTTAGTGGGTGATGTTTGTAGAGATTAAGAGATAATGGGTCGGGTTATGAAGATAGAGAACTAATTTCAAATATTTAGAGACGACATTGATGTTGTATGGAAGTCGATCATAGAAGTAGTCAAGGGAGCAGCTTGCTGAAGTGAAAAGGACAATAAGAAGGATGAGGCTGAAAAGCTGAAAGCAACTACAGTTGACTTGTTGTCAACAGAGCAGCCTACCAGAGGGAGGAGGACAATCAGAAGGATGAGGTTAAAAAAACAAGTGAGCCCATTTATTCTAGGTTTTCGGGATTTTGGAAGTTTATGTGCTATTTTGTGATCTTCTACAACCGCAGACTATGAGTTCTAGTATGTTATGGATTTCTGTTTGTTGCTGTTATCTTTCTTATTAGCATTTAGGTTCAAGTTTAATTTCTCTTTTTCAAATATTATGTGTTGGTGCTTATCCGTTTTAGGCATCAAGTGTGATTATAAATGAGTGGAACAAAAGTTACAGCATGTTTAGCCAGTTGAGTCGTATAACAGAGATGTAACAGATAAAATGATAATTAGGGAAATTGTTTCTAGTCACTAAGTAGCTGTATCACTCAGACAATCGAGCTGTTTGTAATTCTTCAAATGGCAGTATCAGAGTGTTTGAGTGCTTATTTCGTGTTTTTATGAGACGTTATAGTAGTTGGATGAATTGGTAGAGTAAGTTCATGAAAATGTTTGAGGTGGATGAGATTTATTTGATTGATTAAGAGGTGGCCGAGATTAACGTTAATTTCAAGGATTGTATTAGCTAGGTGTTGAATGTATTTCTTCAAATGACAAATTACATCAGTGTTTCAATGTTTATTTCATGTTTTTTCAGTGATACTATGTTAGTTGGATGAAATGGTGCAGCAAATATAGGAAAATGGTGAAATAGAGAAAATAAGTTTGACGGCTAGTAGGTGATAAAGATAAGTCTTGTTTCATGGGTTGTTTTAGAGATGTAGAATGTCTTTCTTCGAGTGACTTATTATACGAGGGTGTTTTAGGATTTACTTTTTGGATAACTAGGACCTAGAGTTCATTCATTAATGGTGTGGATATATCATGTCCCAAAATTTTATTAATTCAATGTCTAGATATCATTTTGTTACTTGGTGTATGCAGTACTCCAACTTTTACTCGGTTTATGTAAGAAGGAACCATATATAGATATATTAGATTAATTAGCGGATGAGTGGGAAAGTCTGGGCGCACAAATATGGAGTATTGGTGCCAAATTTTATATGTGGGTAATTTACTAAATAATTGAGAATAGTTATGTCATTTTATCATAATTATTAAAATACTTGTCGATTTCATTTAGAAATTCCACCTCAATTCCTATGAGTTGCTAAAACTAGCCTCAATTTCGCAAAATCAAAATTTAGAATTGAAAAAATTATTTTTTATATTTCAATTACAAAAATATTTCATTTCGAAATAAATTCCTAAAAATATATGGAATTAATTTATACAAAATGATATGTTGACGTGTCAATTTCTTTGATCTTATAAATAGAAAATTTAATATATTATTACTTATATATTAATTCTTACTTTCTCATTGTTTTTGTATATATATTATTGAAAATCATGAATATTTACAAAAGTTAATATAAATATTATTAGTAAGTAAAAGCTCCTGAAGACTTATGTCTTGTTGACTTGTTATACAAAATGACTTTTCGAATTACAAAGATATGAATAGAAATTAATATCATATGAAACAATGTAAAAATTATATACTATATGTTTATAAGTACTATAAATACATATAAAGAGTAGGCTAGAAGTTTAAGAGATTTGATAACTTGATAGTTATGCAAGTCCCGGCTAGACCATCATGGATCAAGATGCGAAAAAGTTGTTGAAGATTCATACAAATATTTAATGTCAATATCTAAACATTTATACTTAAATCCAACAAATAACATCAACATTTACCTTTTAAACACATAACATAAATGGCAAATTAATTTTTTTAATTAAATTCACTTAAATGATGTCATTTTGCTTAGAGATCATAAATCAATCATGTCTGTCACACTGATGGTGTACACGCCGGTTTTATGACCGACATTTCTTGAACCAGGTCTAACTAGTGGCACACGCGGCCGACGTGACAATCATAATTTATACGTAGATTCAATATAGATTATGATTCACAAAATATTTTTTTCTTGTGTAAAATTTTTAAAAAAATAAGATATTATGAAAGTTTCGTTTATAACCTCTTTAACTTATTTAGGCAATTATTTGTGTAAAAAACAAAACATATATTGAAGCAAACAAGTGATTTGATGGCGGTCCAACTTCTAGACGAAGAGTATCGGGAGGGCTTGTTATCAAAGACGTTGGTCCCAATTCCAACAAACCAGGAAACAGAAGCAAGGACACAAGAAGCACATTACCAGCAGAATTGTGCCGATGCTTCTCAGCAGTTGCTTACCAAGAATTCAGTCTCCGAATTCATCGACAGGAAGTATGACACAGGCAGAAACGACGCACAGGAGTTGGAGCTGTGTGAAAACGAGCTCCCTGAAGCTAGCAGAGGTTGGCGCCTCTGTTTTCTTTCGGTAAAACAGAGCACTTATTCTGGAGCAGGAAGCCTCTGTTTTCCGCTAGAACACAGAGCAGGAGAGAGAGGGAATCGGTGTGTAGAGTTGGGGAATGAACTGAGCGAAGCCCACTCCACCAATACGCTTGAAAACCACCCAGGAATAAATTCCCTACCAAAAATCGAGGCCAAGCATCTTCAAGTCCAAGTTCGTAATTCGGAAAATTTGCCTCTGCAAAATGCCAAAATTCAGCTCCAAAAGCGAGTATCTCGTCGGAGCGATTGAGGGCGAATCGAGCACAACGAGAACCATGGGCAAGTTTCTGGTGGTCCAAGAAATGTGTGGAGCTCCTGAGATCGACCAAAACGGCGGAGAATAAAAAACGCCCAAATTTGATTCTGGGTTTCTCGATACGCAAGAATTTGAAAACTACAACGGCGAAAAAACTGCAGATGACGAGTCGACACTTACCAGAGGTATTCGAAGTGCGAAATCGGACGGGAAGTTCGATTCTCTGATGGAGAAAGCTCCCTCGAGCCGTGAATTGAAGAATGCCAGCTTAGATTGTTCGAACTCGGATTCTGGGCAGGGATCGATGTTCGTCGCAAAGTTGCGGCATTCTGGGAAATTGCCAGATTACTGGCGGAACTATCATCAAAGGCCAAGGATTCCTTGCTGATGACGAGGAGATAATGTGGGTTGAGGACAGAGCCATCAAATTTGAGCAGCCTTCTTTCGATCCAATTTAGGATTAATTCTGTGACGATTTTGACAAGAAGAGCATCAAGCTTTGAGGTCAGAGATTTTTTAAGAGGGGGAGGCGGATATGATCCAATTGGCCAACTCTACACGTTTAAATTTAGGGCTGGTAATCGGTCGGTATCCGGTATACCGGATAACATTGTGTACCCACCGAATACCGATACCAAATGTTATCCGGTATTAATACCGGTATACCGAATACCGGTTAAGATATTCCTTCTTCAGCTCTCTGTAATTAAGATATTCCAGTTCTTCAGCAGAAGGTTTCGTTTCTTCTTCTTGCTCATATTCCTCCTCCTCTTCATCCTCTTCCAGTTCATCCGCATAGTCATCATATGCTTCATATTTCTACAGAAATATTATCCCCATTGAGGAACAACGATAACATCAAAGTAGCAGAACCTCATCAACATAAGAAGGGAATATGCTTACATCAACATGGGCCGGCATTGCAGCTACTCAGCTGATACCCGCTATCCACAAAATCAAGAAATTCAACTTCTGGATGGTTATTAAATCTGGAACAAAAAAAAAAAAAAAAAAGTAAACTCCTTTCAGCTTCTGATGTCGAGACGGACGATTTTGGCACAAGAAAGAAAGGCGTCCAAAGCTCTCATCTTTAGCATTGAGGGAGAATTCAATCATAACCGCAAACTGATTGATTCCCCACGGAGGGAAACATGATATTTTGTAGAACAAAAAATGAAATTGATTGATGCACAAGCTAAAAATCGTCAATTTATCTGAAACCTCATGCGCAGAAAACCTAATGCTGATGCGAGGTTGTGAATCCATCTACCCAACAAACTAGATGAAAAGCAGCCGCGACCAGCAAAACCAGACATCGAATGAGCAAGAAGAAGAAACGAAACCTTCACCGTCATCGGCAGACTCTGCGGAGCAATCTTCTTCGACATTTTCAGCTCCAAATTCTTCTTCGGCGGCGCTACTGCACTCCCTTCCACTCCGGCACCAATCGCCTCAACATTGATCGTCGAGACTGATCCTCTGCTCTACCCTTCAGTGCACCGCGTTTTACTCTTTTTTATTTTTATTTTTATAATCGGTATTACGGTATACCGGTATACCGTCGGTATCTACTGACTCTTATCCGGTATTACCGAATGTAAAATAACGCCCCTGAATACCGATACCGACGGTATTGGGTATACCGAATACCGTCGGTATCCGGTACGGTATCCGGTATACCGGATACCGGTTTACGATTACCACCCCTATTTAAATTACTTTTTGAAAAGGGGAGGCTGATATGATCCCAATTGGAACAGTTTCAAGTAGCCTACTTTGGAGGCTTGGTTCTCTCAATTGGCTCACTGAAAATTGGAGTTCAAGGTCTTTATTTGAAGATAAAGTTATCAGTTTTCCAATGATATGCTTTTTGGATCCAGATGATGTCATTAAGGTTGTTTTCCAATGCCTCAAAGTTGCTACCTCAAAACTGGAAAACTGCCAGAAGCAGAAAATAGCTGAGGCAGAAAACTGTTTTGTGAAGCCTACTTTGGAGCTTAATTCGAGGAGTATGGATCTGATTCAAGTCCAAAGGCTTCCACAACATGAAACTAAGTATGTTTATGTACAAAGGGAAGGAATTGGATGAAGGATTGGAGTTCTGGAAGGCTTCGAACGAAAGGCACGAAGTTAGTACAAAAGCTGCTTTTGGACTGTTTGCTGACAGCTTACTTGTGCTTCAAGAAAGGGAGTTTAAACCCAAATTTTTGTGTCTTTTTAGACTAGATTTTTACCTTTATTGTTTCCTAGTTCTATTAGGTTTACTTGTCTTTAAATACCTTCTAGTTTACGATTGTAATAGTTAGTAGATTATTGTAGAATGAAAATTGCTCCTACGTGAGTGTTTTGAGTTCTTGAGTGTCTCGAGAATTTATCTATTGTCTTTAGCTTCGAGTGTATTCCTTAGCTAATTACAAGACCCTTGTGAGGCTATTCTGAGTGGATTCCAGAATCGTTTAGCACCTTGATTGTGGCGAGAATTTTACCTTTCCGTCAAATATCATTCGATTGTTTGGTTAGCTGCGTTACTTTGATCAAAAGCACCCCTTGGCGCTTTATTAATCTGAAGAGAGATTTGGCAGAAACAATTGCCGTTGTTATCGTCCTTGCATCCATCGTCGTCGTTTCCCGATCCTCCGTCTCCATCGCCTAAGTCGCCCTTGCTAGATTTTCCTCATTCCGAGTCTTCCTTGGCTGAGATCCCCTCGATATCGTAGCCGCTGTCTTCTTCTGACCCAGATCTCGTCCAACCCGCCGCCACAGTTGAACCTTCTAAGTGTAATGCGGTTTTATGCTTGACCCATCTCTCCATTTGTTCAACGACGCAGATGCATGCAATCTCTTTCTTCTCTTGGGTTTGTGTTCATGATTTTCGTCGTTGTTGATTCCCCCGGAGGCTCGTCGGCAGTGGCGGATCCAGGGGGTGGCCACCCCGGGCCACTGCTCAGCCCTCTCCTGGATTCGGAGTTAGTATAGCCCTTATGAGTTTATCGATTTTAGCCATTTGGCCTAGATAATAAAATTGTGTGTAATTAGGAAAATGGGTAAGATGAACATATTCAAATCACAACTCTAAATTTAGCCTGAAAATTCTAGCTCCAATGTTTCTCATCTAAAGAAAAACAAACCATGAAACCTAAAATTCTAAAACGTAAAAGACTAAAAAAATATGAGGATTATTCCCTTATAAGAAATTACTAGAGCAGCTGGTGAAAATAAGAATTGATACACAATATATTCGATTGATTTGTCCAATGTTGACATTGCTCGTTTCAACTACTATGGAGAGAACCTTTTCAACAATGACATAGGTGAAAAATTATTTACGCAACAAAATAAGCGATGAATTTCTCGTCAATTGCTTAAGTATTTTATTTTAAAGAGAGTATGTTATTAGTGTGGGTGTAAACTCCATTATTGATGGATTCACTACATTAAAATTTAAAAGATCGACGTGTACAATTGATATTGTAAAAAAAATTGTGATTTTCTTACGGTATCTAATTTTCTAATGAAATGCGGCCCAGCGCTCTACTGTGTCCTGGATCCGCCACTGCTCGTCGGTTGGTAGTGGTTTTGAAGATCCTAGTAGTGTTTTTCAGCTCTACTTAGTAGTAATGTTTTGTAATTTTTGGAATGAAATATGTAAATAGTGTTCTCTATTTTTATACATTGTAGTAGTGTTTGTATTATTTGTGCATTATTTTGGTAGTGTTCTCCAATTGTTGTAGGACCTAGTAGTGTTTTCAGATTAGCATTAGTAGTGATTATGCAATTAAGTAGTAGTGTTTAGTAATTTTTTAGAATGAAATATGTAACTGGTGTCCTCTATTTTTGCACGCGGTAGCAGACTAGCAGTGTTCTCCAGATTCTTGTTGGTAGTGTTTTTATTGCTTAGGTAATATTTTGGTCGTGTTCTCCAGTTTTTGCGAGAGCTCGTAGTGTTCTTTCGATTTATCATTAGTAGCGATTCTGACAGTAGCCTTTCACTGGAGTTGCATATGTCATCGGCAATATAATATTCCTCTCCACAAACAGCCTCTCCATTCAAGATCTCCAAATAGATAAAGAATGAAAATAAAATTTTCCCCAAAATAAAATATACATATTGTCTATCAAATGATCCCACAAAATACGGCCCTATAACGAAAATCGTAATTAAATTTAAAATTTAATATTTTATTGGTCTTATTCCTATTATACCCCTTTTCTATTTATAGCCATTAGATCTAAAATAACAAAATACGGCCCTATAACGAAAATCGTAATTAAATTTAAAATTTAATATTTTATTGGTCTTATTCCTATTATACCCCTTTTCTATTTATAGCCATTAGATCTAAAATAAAAATAAACGATTTAGATGAGGGTGCTAACTTAGCACTCTAGCTTCTCCCACATCCCAATTATCAGTTCGTTTACCAGCCCTACGTATGTGTGCAAGCCGCTTCTTGATCTAGCTATTTATTTCTTTTTAAATTGAAAATTAACCCTCCAGAAAAGAAAAGTGACAATTGCAGAGGTACTGCGGATTCACATTCTTTCAGTTGTGCAGCTTCATCAATCACCAAAACCTGAGTTAGCGTGGTTACTTAATTTTTAGTAATCACGGTGGCTACCTTAATCTATACCATTCATTATTTCTTTTTCATCCTAATTTTAAATTAACGACGAAGATTATATTAGGGTAATTTTAGAATTAAAAAATGTACCACACCCGACGTCCCTCCTCCCTCGCGAGAACCCCCTCCACCGCCCTGCTCCCTTCCCCTCCTCTCTCGCATAATCTTCCATCCCTAGCATGCCCTCTCTCTCTCTCCCTCTCATTCCCAGAAGCTGTAGCACCATCAATGGACGCTCCCGTCCTAGATCGGGACCTCCCCGACGACGACGATTCCCCCGGTACTTTCGAATCTTCCTCCGACGTTGCTGACGGCGGAGCTGGACAAGGCAATTCAATATGGGACGCTCGCCAATTCAATGGACAATTCCCCCCGCCAATTCAATGGACGATTCCCCCGCCAATTCGCTCGACGATTCCGCTGCCAATTCAATGGATGCTCGTGTTCCAGATCGGGACCGCCCCGACGACGACGATTCCCCCCGCCACTTCGGAATCTTCCTCTGACGTTGCTGATGGCGGCGCTGGACAAGGCAATTCAATATGCTGCATCCCAGAATCTTCTTTGGTAGTGTGTGCATTACGCTTTGGTAGTTACCTGCATTCGTGTTAGTTAGATGGAGCATTATGTTTTAGTAGTTATTTGCATTTGGTTTGGAAGTGTTTGCATTATGCTTTGGTAGTTTCTCTATATTTGTTTTGGTAGTGTTTGTATTGATTTATTTATGCAATGGTATTGTTTTGATTTCACAGTAGTAGTGGTATTGGTTGTTTTGGTATTTGTTTGACTTTTGTAATGGTATAGATTGTTTATATTGGTAGTTTTCGTGTAATGGTATAGATTTATTTCTGCAATGGTATTGATGTTTTTCAAAATGGTAGTGGTTGTCTAATGGATTGGTAGTGATTTCGTATTTTTTCTTTTGCAAAAAGATTGAGAAAAATATGAAAAGGAGATCTGGCTGGAGATTACGGAAGTGAGAGAAAAAGAAAGAATTGTAATTAATAGATTTTTGTAACTACCTAAAATGTAATTTATTAAAATTAATTAATTAATATACTTTATTTTTCCATCCCCAATTTACCCTTAGTAATCACGGTGATTACTACTTTTATAGTGATCACCGTAACCACTCCCCCAAAACCTCGAGTGGCTCTTCTCATTCTCTGCACAGAAGCTACTTCATACAAGATCATGCATGCCATTCTGATAGGAGATGAGTGCCAATTACCAGCCATGGTTCAACCTTTTCTTGATCTAGCTATTTATTTCTTTTTAAATTGAGAAGGTTAATAATAGCATCACGGAAAAATGTTAATAACGTATGTGAAAAAACTAATATGTATTGTTGACAGCGTTGACAACTCCGTTACGTTGCTCTAAAAATCTCAAATCAGAGGCTCCCCTTTTTGTCATGACATTTTAGTTACTGGTTAATAATTTCAGTAATATAACTAATAATAGAGCCGCAGAGGTTAATACTGTGGACAATACGACCATTAAATCGCATTTTTTATTGATAATTCTAGTAGCGTCAGTAAAAATGTTAATAACGTATGCCTAATCATTAATATGTACTGTTTAAAATGTTGACAAATCCGTTACATTGCTTTGAAAACCTCAATCCACCAGCTGCTCAATCCACAGGCTCCTCCGTTACGTTGACAACTCTGTCGCGTTTCTTTTCAATGGTAAGTGATGGACGTAGCGGGCCGACAACAAGTTTGTTATTACAGATCTTGGATTGTGAATTTGTGGTATATCATGTAGCACTACAAAAAATGGATAATTATTATGTTCAAAATATTACTAATGCTGAAAGTACGTTAATAATGAACAAAGATTGTTTATACTACACGTTAATTAAACCGACAGGTTAATACTAGTAAAAAATTGAACATGACTTTGAAAATATTACTAATGGATGAAGAGACGTTAATAATAAACTACGATTGATAATATTACACGTAAATTCAGCAGACAGATTAATAATAGCACACGCTTAATAATAAGATGAGCCATTATCAAATCATGCACGATTGACTACAACACTTCAAAACATTACAAATCACTATGAACTAAATTGATATCAAACTATATTAGTGAATTAATGTCAATTACAAACAAATTGATAAAATAATTACAAAGCGACAATAAAAAAATTAATAACACAACATAACATAATTAACAAGCCTATCAGAAAACATTCACGATACGACAAACATTGATTATTGGGCGGGTAAAAATATTGATCATAGCCCTTCAAAAGATTACAAATCATGGCTACGTAAATTGATCATAACTGTATTAGTGAAAAACCCTAAGCAGACACTATGGGTGCTTCTGCATTCTTCTTCATAGGCTTACTAAACGGTGCAGACTTACGCGTTGTATTCTTTGTACGCGCCATATTGTGGACCACTGTAAAAAATTAAAAATTACATATAAAAATATTAATAACTCATTCTCTAATAACGATCAATACAAACAGAAAATGTTAATAACGAACATAACTTAATATTGTTGATAATGGCAGATCAGAAAGGTACAAATATGGAAAAATAAACTTCATCATTTTCTACAGAATTTGGATAAAAACCATAACACGAAAAAATTGATAACGGTGTTAAAAAAATTGTCACGTGAGCAACAAACATTACAAAAAACTACCAATTGCATGACATATTGATTAATAATAGAGAACAAAAGGTTGAGAACGAGCACATATTGATTAACCATGGGGATAAAAACAGTTTGTAAACGCCCACGGAATGATTAATAATAGATACCAAAAGGTTGAGAACGAGCATAGATTGATTGACAATGGACACAAAAAAGTCTGCAAACGTCCACGAAATGATTAATAATAGACACCAAAGAAATTAAAAATAAATACTATTGTGCAGCGACAACGCAAAAAAAAACTACTTCCATGCAACGCCAAAACCCTAATCCCACGCAGCGACGCGACGACAAACCCACAAATACGAAATAAATATTGGACACGGAAAAATTGACTTGAAGAGATTGATTAACAATAGACACAAATTATTGACTTGCACGACATATTGATTAATAATAGAGAACAAAAGGTTGAGAACGAGCACATATTGATTAACAATGGAGACAAAAACAGTTTGTAAATGCCCACAGAATGATTAATAATAGATACCAAAAGGTTGAGAACGGGCACAGATTGATTAACAATGTACACAAAAAAGTTTGTGAACGTCCACGAAATTATTAATAAGAGATACCAAAAAAATTAAAAATAAATACTATTGTGCAGCGACAATGCAAAAAAACTACTATCATGCAACGCCAAAACCCTAATCCCATGCAACGACGAAAAACCCCACAAATACGAAATAAACACCTTAAACGCCGCCAACGAGAGATAAGGGTTCGATGACGGGGTAGACTGGGAGTTGAAACAGAAACGGGGTTCTGCGACGGGGTAGCCCTTATCACGGACAGGGCTCGACGACGGCGGCTATGGAATCGACGATGGTGGATTGGGACGACGACGGGAAAGGGAGCTGCCAGCAACGACGAGGTGTAAAACAGGAACAGGAGCAGAATCACCAGCCGAGGACGGTGTATAATAGGCAACTACGGCGACAAAGGCAGCTGTGTTTTGCGTTGGTGGATTGGAACGACGACTGCAGCGGGAGCTAGCTGCCCTCAGCGGAGAACTTGAGAATCGCCGGCCGGAGAAGGGACGATCGGGAGAGACCGTTCACCTGCCTGCGGGAGGAAGAAGAAACAGACAGGGGGACGTTTGCGGGAGGGAAAATAAAGAAACCCAGTTTTTAATTGTTTTGTAGTCTCCTTAATACCCCTAACAACTATTTAACTAATAACTACTCCACAATAACTACCTAAAATTGAGTAAGCCAATCAAAACGCTTTAAGATCCTCCTTAAAAAAGAGGCCTTAAGGACTTGAATTTAGGCCTTCGGGTTAGATCAGCTCCTTAAGGCCTCTTTTTTAAGGAAAATCTTAAACCCCTTTCAGCCAATAGGAAAAGGAGAGAGAGAGAGTGAATAGTAATGATTGGTTAACTACCTACCTAATACATTAAAGGGTAAGACAGGAATATAGAAAATAATTAAATGATATTATTAATTAAGGAACGAATGGGAGAAATAATTCTCCTCCCAACCCTAAACCCATTCATCCTTCAGAAATCACCGTCGGGATCACGCAACCGGCTGGGCGTTTGCTTTGCGGCGCTTGCTTTGCGGCGTCTTCGTCTCGTTTTCTCGTTTTTCATCATCGACTCGCATCTAAGGCCGGTGACGTCTCGGCTGTCGTCGTCTCTCCTTCTCGTCTGTCGTTCGCCGCGTTCGTAGACTACCGACGCTTGCTTTCCGGCGTCGGCGTCTCGTCTTCTCCTTCGTCGTCATCGACTCGCATCTTAGGCCGGTAACGTCTCGGTTGTCGTCGTCTCGGTTGTCTGCCGTTCACCGCGTTCCTAGACTAAGCTTTTCCATGGAATCGCCAAGACCCGTTATTTTTGGTAAGTTTTTGGTTGCGTTGTTTAATAAAACAGGCTAGAGTTGTTAACAATTTAAGTTAATAACTAGGTGGGGGATAATTAATAATGCCTTCGTTAAATGTTAATATTTGAGGTGTTTAAATTAGTAATAAACTTTGCATGTAATCAGGTCATTACTATTTTTAAACCTATTATCAATATCTTCATACACGATTATTAACTGCTAATACCAATTCATTAATAATACTTGTGTTTGTTGTTAATAATTGAAGTGTTTAAATTAATAATCCACTTTGCACGTAAATTGTTTGTTGTTTTAAATTATTAATTAAAAAGGGCATGGTTAATAATTCAATGTGTTAATAAGTAAAAGTCATTACTCGGAGAGGGATGATTAATAATTCATGTGGTAGTTGTTAATAATTAAAGTGTTTAGGTTAATAGTAAACTTTGCATGTAAAATTTCATTGTCGATTTAGGTTAATAATCCAAGAAGGGAAGATTAGTAATGATGTTGATGGTTGTTAATAATTAATCCGAGAGGAATATCTTTAGTCGTTAATAAACTTTGCATGTAACCAGGTCATTACTAGTTTTAAACCTATTATCAATATCTTCATACACGATTATTAACTGCTAATACCAATTCATTAATAATATTTGTGTTTGTTGTTAATAATTGAAGTGTTTAAATTAATAATCCACTTTGCACGTAAATTGTTAGTTGTTTTAAATTATTAATTAAAAAGGACATGGGTAATAATTCAATGTGTTAATAAGTAAAAGTCATTATTCGGAGAGGGATGATTAATAATTCATGTGGTAGTTGTTAATAATTAAAGTGTTTAGGTTAATAGTAAACTTTGCATGAAAAATTTCATTGTCTATTTAGGTTAATAATCCAAGAAGGGAAGATTGGTAATGATGTTGATGGTTGTTAATAATTAATCCGAGAGGAATGATTAATAATTTATCTTTAATTGTTAAAAGTTAAAGTGTTTAGGTTAATAATCGGAGAAGGAAGATTAGTAATGAAGTGGGTAGTTTTAATAATTAAAGGTAATAGTTTTGTTAATTTTTCAACGTTGCAGATCTGAATGAAGTACCTTGTGATGTCAGCTTGGAAGGTGAAGATATTTCCAATAACAATGACTTAAGCGAAGACGAGATTACAGTAGAAAATCTATATGTAGAAGGTGAAGGTTAGTAGATTAATCTTGTATATATGTGGAATGATAAAACTTGTGCTAGTGACGTGATGTGTTCATTGTTGCAGGAGTGGTGGATGATGTTCATACGAATGATGCTAGTGCTATACCTGTCATGGACATTCGTGATTTTAATATTGATAACATGGGTAAGTCGAATTTATAACAATCTTCTTATTAACAAGTAAAAAAATGTGCACCATTATTAACCAATTTCTTGATAATTTATGTAGAGATTGATTTGGTTGATCCTGCAAATGAATCAACATGGACAGAGCGTAGGTTTGTGTCCAGGGATCATGCAGAGTTATTCCATAAAGAGTATGCACATCACAAAGGCTTTGGCATGAGGAAGGAAGGTGCTCCTAAGAGGAACACAAAGAATGAATTTTGTGAGTCTCCTCACTACATCTATTGCGCATGTACGAAAGGAGGATACAGAAGAAAAAAAAGCGCGAAGAATCCAAAGAATGGAGGACGAATTGATAATACTGTTCGGAAACGGAGTAGGGCAGAGAACAGATGGGGGTGTCAAGCGAGGATAAACTTCAAGTTGGATAAACGAACCAACCTCTATTACATTGATGATTGGGTAGATGAGCACAATCATGAGATGCACGACCATCGGCGAAGCATCTCCATCGTTCTTCACTTCAAGACGATTGAGATAATCATAATAACAATTAACGAAGGCGTCTTCAATGTAGGTGTCAGGCGCGGATGATTGCGTGTCCTCCCTCCAAAGCGAGAGAGTATTGTCCTTAAGAGTTCGTAACTCTTCTTTTCTAGATTAAAAATGAAGGGGGGAATCAGTTTGATGTACCGATGTCATAAACAAGGCATTAGTGATTGGTGTTAGAAGAAGAAAATCACTTACATCGTGATTCTCGGATTCCAAGCATAGCACACCACCAAGTCCTCCCATATATTAGGATCCAGTATGAAACATAAGGGCAGAGCATTCTTTGTCTTCTTCTTAGGAGCATCTAGGGTATCTATCTTTGTCCCTGCAGTGAATGGGGAAGTGATAAGATTAGATGGCCTAATCTCCCTCTGTGGCCTCTTACGTGGTTGGGCCTCGTCCTCTGCTTCCACAACCGAGACATCCTTTCCTTTCTTGAGCTTGTATGTCCTCGCGCATGCATTGCCCACCTTAGGCTTGTCAGCCTTCTTAGCAACTTCAGCATCTTGATCATTGGGGCTAGGTACAAGTGGATCATTATCAACAGTAGCATCTTGATCAGCATCTCTAATCTCGTTGCATGCGATACAGGAAATTGTGACTAATGCTAACAAGGCGTATTATCAATATTTTTAAACCTATTATCAATTTTTTTGTACATGATTATTAACACGTTCTCCGAATCATTAATATTTTGAAACCTATTATCAATATCTTCATACATGATTATTAACTGCTAATACCAATTCATTAATATTTTTCAACCTATTATCAATAGTTTTATGACATTCTTATTAATTATCTCGACATTATTTGTTAATCAAAAAATATGTAATTTTGAATATGCTACATAGAAAATGTTAACAACGACTATAAATTGATTAATAATATAAAATAAGGATGGCAAATTTAATTATCGTGTGAAAATAGTGATAATAAGTTCTATAAAAGTATGAATTGGGAATCCTACTTAATAATTGTCATTAAATTGGTAGGAAACTAACCGGGGTTATCAACCGATGTGCAAATCTCTCCAAGACCTTTGGCAGGTGGGGATGCAATTTTCGAAGCAGATCCCTCCACCGAAAACTCAGGAACAGTCTCCTCCCGAGAGGCCGAGCCGTTGACAGCTTCATCTTCAGCATCAAATGAGGTGACGTCACGACTGATTAACTCTGACTCGCAAACACCAACCAGTCTTTTGAAGAAGGCCACCTGACCGCAAAGCGTTGCAAGGAAGCTTAAAGCCTCCTTTCGCATATACAAAAGCTGCATTTCAAAGATATAATCAACTGTAGTTGATAATAAGGCTGAAAATATTGATAATGTACACAATAACATTGATAATTATAAAAATTAAGGGGCTAACCTCATTCGTGTCCATGTGGTCGGTCCTTAAGGACATAAGTTCGAACAGCGACTTGGGCTTCATGTTCTGTTCAGATTCTCCCCATCAGAATTCTCTGGTTGCACCCCTTTCGAACAAACCTCTCTAGCAATGCCCATAGAATCAACATGCTTAGCCCAGTTTTTCCAATATCCTCCACCAGTTTGTTCTTATTGGTCTTAGACCCCGGAAAATCCAATATAGGGACAACCCTCAGATCATTGGAAGTACTAAGGACTGGTTCCTTGCGCACTGACGCTCGTTTCTCATTCCATAACGTACAACTTGGTATAATGTTAGAAACTGTTCCAGGTGTGTTTGGCACACCGGTCCGGTCCAGGAGTGCACATATGAGAAAGTGCACATCGCCCTCCACATATTTTCTATCTGAATTCCCAAGAATAGCCCGTCTCACCCGGCTCAGCATGTGACCACACCAATTGAAGTTTCTAATCTCTTCAGCAGCTCTCCCCCTCATGAATCCAAGGTACTTATCCATCACAGTCATACTGCCATTTGGGTCCAAAATATATCCAATGCTCAATAGAATGCACATCTGCACCCAAGATTCATCATCGGTTGTGTTCCTCATGTCATTCTTCAATTACATTAGGTCGATCATATTTGGGCCGACTGTGGATATGCCAAGAGCCAACGCCCATTCCTTTGTATTGAGTTGGTCGAAGATGTCAAGATCAACAATATTGGTACCCTTGGGCAAGCCATACACGCGTTCGACGTCATCCTCAGTAAGATACAAACGTACCCCGCCAGGCATCTGGAACGACATAGACTGACCTACAAAATGTTACAAGGACAGGTGCTCACAATTAATACTGAAGCAAATTTTATGGATAATGACTTAGGATAAAGTTGAAAACACAACAGGAAAATAAATCCAATTAAAAATGCTAGTTGTGCGTTCACTCACCATCAAAATTAACATTTACCAAGCGCAAATAATCCCAGTCAATACTACGCATCTGCAGGTTAAGAACGAAGCCGAACCCATAACTTTGAAGTATAGCCGCACGACTTGGGCTAATATTCTTAACGATTTTGCGGACCTGAGACATACTGCACCTGATTGGTAAGCGATTGTCATCAGCTATGGGTGCATCTGCCTTTTTCTTCATAGGCTTACAAAACAGTGCAGACTTACGCGTTGTATTCTTCGTACGTGCCATATTGTGGACCACTGTAAAAAATTATAAAGAACGTCCACGAAATCATTAATAACCCATTCTCCAATAACGAGCAATACACAAATAAAATGTTAATAAATAACATTACTTAGTAGTGTTGATAACGATCAATACTAAAAAAACATAACACGAGAAGAATTGATTATTGTGTTCACAAAATTATCACGTTAGCAATGAACATTACAAAAAAAATTACCAATGCAATTAAATAATTTACATAACATGACAGATTCATTAATAATAGAGACCAAAAGATTGAGAGCGAGAACATATTGATTAACAATGTTGACAAAACAGTTTGTAAACGCCCACCGAATGATTAATAATAGATAGCAAAAGGTTCAGAACGAGCAAAAATTGATTAACAATGGACACAAAAAAATTAAAAATAAATACTAATGTGCACAGACTAATCCCATGCATCGACGCGACGAAAAAACGTCACAAATACGAAATGAATAGTGGAGACGGAAAAATTGACGTGCACAGATTGATTAACAATGGACACAAATAATTGACTTGCATGACAAATTGATTAATAATAGAGAGCAAAAAAGTTGAAAACGAGCACGTATTAATTAATAATGGAGACACAACACGGTTTCCAAACGCCCACGGAATTATTAATAATGGATGCCAAAAGGTTGAGAACGAGTGACAATGGACAGAAAAAAAGCTGTAAACGTCCACGAAATTATTAATAACAGAAACCAAATAAATTAAAAATGGACCTACCATTGTGCAGCGCCTACTCCTCCCATGCAACGACAAAACCCTAATCTCATGCATCGCCAAAACCCTAATCCCATGCAACGCCAAAAAACCTCAAAATAGCGGCCAAAAAAATCGGAGACAAAAAATACCTTAAAACGCGGCCGCCGAAGAGAGACTGAGGGTTGAAACGAGAGAGAGGGAGAACTCGAACCGTCGGCCGACGGCAACAACGGGAGGGAGAACTCGAATCGTCGGCCGAATGCTGTGCTTTTTTTTGTTTCGCCGAGTTATCGGAAGGGACGATAACTCGAGCGACGCCGGAGAACTCGAATCGTCGTCACGACGACCGGAGTGGGAGGGAGAACTCGAAGTAGGCAGTCGACAACAACGGCTGATGGACTAGGTACGGAGAAGGGACGACCGGACGAGCGACGACGAAGAACACAATGACGAACCGGAGAACAACGGCAACAACGGCTGATGAACTCGTAGGTACAGAGAAGGGACGACGGAGAACTCGTGCTTTGACGGAGAAGGGACGACGGAGAACTCGTGCTTTGACGGAGAAGTTGGGACGACGCGGCCTGGGACAACGGAGAAGTTGGGACGACGAAGGAATAATAAACAGATGAATACCGTCGGGTTAGGGTTTATTAAAAAAAGATACGCATGTTTTAATTTAATTGTATTCTCCTTAATACCCCTAACAACTTTTTCACTAATAACTCCCTACTAACTACCTAATCTTGAATTAGCCAATCACAAGACTTTAAGTTCTTCCTTAAAAAAGAGGCCTTAAGGACCAGAACTTAGGCCGCTTCTATTGTAGGATTTCATACTTTTAGTGGGTGGGTGCATCCAAACAACTTATAATTGGACTTCATACCGTAAGAAGCCAATGAAGAGAAGGGCAGTTGCCACACCACGAATATGCACATTTCAAAATTTAAAGGGATAGACGAACAAAAACACGTATAAATTAAACAAACTACGTATTGTGTCTCATCAGTTACGTGCAGCACATGTATAGAAGGTAAGTGTTATCACCCTTAAGTAACCCAATAGATCAAGCACGACGACATACCATCCCAATTAGGTGCCCTGCATATATAACTATTTCAGGTGTGTGTCATGCATGACTGTTATATAGTGAATTAACATTTTACGTAACGAGATTTTAATATTCCTTGTGTGAAAAGATCGTCATTATGTAAGTGTTGGGTAACGTGATTTCCCAATGGTTACATAAGATACTCATTGCTTGCGTAAAGTTTACAAGAAGAGTGATGTTTACCAGACGACAAACCTTAATGAACGATCCTGCAAATATAACTAACTATTCCAAGTTCCAACCAAAACTTTGTGAAAGGACACCAACAAGTACTTAAAGAACGAACCTGGGCATGCACTTGAAACATGCGACACTGAACAAACTAAACTACATCATAACAACATTCGACACTGGCCTTATATATAAAGCCACTTGAAAATGTAAATACACAGCTGGTCACTCCATTCCAGCCTCAAATTAACCTGACGTACGGATAGTACTAAATCCAGATAGCAGAGGGTGAAAAATTAAATCCAGGCGGAACCATCCTCAATGGCCTTGGCTTTGACGTCGAGAGCATAAAGGTCGTTAAAAATCTTGTCCAAAGCTTCATAGTCGTCGGCGGCATTGTTATTCCTCTCCCCGAATTCCATGCAACCTTCAACGACCCGGCTGAAACAGATGACTCGCTTCTTTTGCAGATTGTTCCACCGGCGGGCATAACGATCATCGTCGTCGTCGCCGCCTGAATCAACGACGTCGAGTATCCATTTGGCATTCTCATAGATGTTCATCATGTTAAGCCTCAGCTCCCTCATGTAAGCACGCAGCTCTTCTTCTTTCTGCTGGTACTCATCTTTGGCCCTCGCCACATTCTCATCCAAGTCACGCAGCAGCTTCCTGAGGGAGTTGAGATACCCCAAATCGCCTCCAATGTAGTTGTCGTGCATATCGTTTTTCTCGTCTCTCTCCCTGTCCAGTCTCTTAATCTCTGCGTCAAAAGCAGCAAGCTCCTCCTTCTTCTCCACGTAAGGACGGGTTATGAACTCATCCATGTCTTATTGCAGGTATCTAACAAGCTAGCTAAGCTGGGGACATCAAACACCCATGGAATGGAAGTAACGTACGTAGAGATTTAACAGAAACCCCGGCCATCAATCAATTAAGGTGGAATTTTATTAATTACCAAAAGAAACGCACATAAACGTAAACCAAAAGAGGAGTTGAGAGTAATCACATAATTGATACAACCTAATCACAGGGTTCTATCGAGAATTGGGATTATTTAGGGATTAAGAACAAAATTAGGGAAGGGATTTGAGAAGAGAAAGATAGAGAATCGACCTAGGCCTTTAGAGAGATTGGGAACGAGAATTGAGAGGACTGGGAGAATAGGGTTTAGGAAGAGTTTTTTTAATAGGGCGATACTTGGCTGCTGTCTGGGTTGCAGCCCATGGCGGCCACCTATTAACGTGGCACCATATCATTGGTTCAATGGATATTATTAAACTTATTTGGATTAGGAAGGGACGGAAACCGGACGGAAACTATTTCTTTTCTTGGACGGACGGAGAGAAGCCCAAACGGTGCTACCTCTTTATATTTTTTTATTATACTTTTTATATAGTTTTTATTAATTAAAAAGGAGATAATAATATTAAACACACATAGGCATAGTTAGTAAATATTCCGTTTAATACACATATATGTATCCATACGTACTTTATTCATTTAAAACTTTCGTATCCGTATTATTGTCAAGCCGTTTCTTTTTTGTTCGTTCATTTGATAGCTCCCATATTAAACACGTATAAAACCCATATAATATGCTTAATATCCGTATTTAATGAATTAAATTATTAAATTTATTATTATTTATAAATTTATTTATTTTAAAAATAATTAATTTTATATATTTATGACTTTTAACTTACTATTAAACGTAACATTAACATAGAGACAGAGTAAAGTACTCGTACATATTTTATACATAACTTTCTCGTACCGTATTTTACTAACTATGCACAGAGGTGCAATAGTACTTGTTTTCCATCTTAATTAATAAATAATAAAATTGAATTTATATTTGTAAATGATATATTGCTTACACAAAGAGTGTAGATTCCAAGTTTTCTCCCACTGAACTAATAATTGATTTTTGAAATTGATCATTGTTCATCACCTAAAATCAACCAATTGTTAAGATATGATTCACTCCGCATATTATATCACTCCTCTCAATATTAGTTAAGCTGGAAAACAAGTACTAGTGCACTCTGTGTTTTTAATATTATTATCTCCTTTTCAATTAATAAAAAATATATAAAAAGTATAATAAAAAAAATGTAAAGAGGCAGCACTGTTTGGGCTGCTCTCCGTCCGTCCAAGAAAAGAAATAGTTTCCGTCCGATTTCCGTCCCTTCCTAATCCAAATAAGTTTAATAATATCCATTGAACCAATGATATGGTGCTACGTCAATAGGTGGCAGCCATGGGCTGCAACCCAGACAGCAGCCAAGCATCGCCCTTTTTAATATTCTTCTTTACTGATTGATAATGAAACGCAGATTACATATTTATAGCGAATATAGGAAAACCCTACTAATAAACCTCATTCTACTAGAATACTACTAACCATAATAAGAATTACCCTATTAGTAATAATAATAATAATAAATACAGAAACACTAACAAAGTAGAGTCGGTTTCCATCAACTTGGGCTGGCTATAGATAGCCTTTTTTCCCCGCCAAGGACTCCTTATTTCCTTTTATGTAAACGCAGGCAGGGATAAGGGGAGGGCATGCATGTGATGGTTCGATTCGATGCCAGAGGATTCCTTTGATCGCCAGCTTCTCGTGATTGTCACGCCGGCCGGCGTGCCACCGGTTGTATCGGGTTCAACCAGTACCGGTCATAAAACCGGCGTGACATCATCGGTATGACCGGCATGATCGATATACGAATCTCTAAGTAAAATAACCTTATTTTAGAGAATTTAATTGATAAAAATTATTTTATTATTTATTTTATGAGTATAAAAGTTAAATATTGATGTTATTTGTTGGATTCAAATATAAATTTTAGGTATTGACGTTAAAAGTCATGTTTAAATATGAGTATTTATAATTTTAATTGTAATATTGACCGGCATGAACCGGCACAAACCGGTATGTGCCACCGGTTAAACCATTCCACTTGCTAAACCGGCACACTGACATAAATCGGTTTGACAACCTTGCGTGACTCCCTGCCACATTAATTAGATTCCCATATATTAGGAAACAATAGCAGACATAGTACTTGAAATGTTCAAGTTTCCGGGGGAATTTTTTTTTTAACTTAAACGACCGTGGTGAGTGAAAGAAAGAGTTGATTCGATGGCGAGAGTGACAATAGATATTTACTAGCCTAGTGCCCGGCCCGATGGCCGGATGCAGCTGAGTTGAGTAACGTACAATAGTTTGAGATGTAAATTAGGTGTGTAAATTTTTCGGGCACCCCGAAAGTGTGAGAATAGGGGATCCCGTTTTTTTCATTGTTGCTATTATAGTATGGGTAGTCACTATTCATTTATCTTCTAATTATCCCGTTTTTTCCTTTCATTCGAACAATGTGAGGGTAAATATGCAGTTGGTGTAGTGGAAGACATAGAAAAACGAAGGGGAAATTAGGTGCAGTGCATATTGATTTGCATACGTACCAAGATCTGAACTAAATGGAAGACATACATGTACTTGAAATCACAGAAGTATCTGTTCTTCAAAGTCAGAATATAACTACTACATAACAATATAAATGTAATTCTTCTACTACCGAAAAGATGAAATGCACAAAATAACATTGGAATTCATATCTTCTAGTTCTGCCTTCCCTTGATTCTTACTCAGACAACCAGATGATTCATCCCTTAGTCTTACCAGCTGAAATAATAACAGAAGTAGAAGCTAATTATTAAATGTAAAGCCTCAGTTGTGTTAATAAATAGCAATATTCTCCTGTATTTGAAATAAAAAAGGCAAGACATGTACCTTCGTCGAATGCAAAACGAGGACAGTGTTTATAGGTTCAGTTTAAGATCCAGTAATGGTTGAAATGCTTTTGGATGCCAAATTGCAAACATGCGAATATGTGGTTCAACTTCATATTCTGATCCAATGATGTATAATTCTGCCATGAATTTGATGTTACAGCATTCTTTCAGCAACTGAACTCGCTTGTCATATGGTATTTTTTGAAACTTGATCGGTGGCTTACGAAGCAGAGCAAGAGCAGGTCCATGATCCAGAATGACCTTTGCCTTGTGATTTCCTGATTCACATTCAGCCTGCAGTTCATAGAATAATCTGAAGAAATATGTAAATTAGATGCATTTAAACAATGTATAGTAGTTTTATAATAGGATTTCTCCAATAAAAAAGTTTTATAATAGGGAATAAAAAAGCAAAGGTATTTGGAAATACTCAGTGCCTCCAGGAAAAACTTGACGGGTCACAGAACCAAGGTCGAATTTGACTATTTTCAATTTGCACCGATAGAGTATCTGTCATATAGTTTGATATAGGAGAAAGACAAAAAATAGAATTTAGGCGTATTTGAAAACACTGCTACTATTGACAGTCAATTTGAAACTTATTTATATTTGTCAAATATACTTCCTTGACAAATGTATAACAGAGTATAGAAGGTAATGACAGTTACCTCTGTTTCTTCTTCTCCTAAAGGCAGCTTGTTCGTCAATTCTAATAATGAGATTCTGAGCGGAATGTTGCGCCGAAGGTATCCAATACGCTATTTTGATTTGTAGTCAATGATATCCACAGGCAGTCTGTTAGGAAAGAACCTAGAATGTTTTGGAGGTTAAATTAGACAACTTATAGGGAAAAAGATGCAAAATATATTAAAAATGAACATATAATTATAACAGTTTACTTGTTCATTAAATCTTTGGTCATCTCATTGTACGGATGTACAATAAGACGACTTCCCGGAGATGTTACGAAATAGAACTGTGGAATATGGTCAAATTCGTGCATGTTTCGGGTGAGTGCTGTTGCTGTCACAACCAGAGGATAATGAACTTCTTTGGCAGTAACACTTTCAATGAAATCTTTAATTCTTGTGCCAATATAGCTCACAAGTCCTTTGTTTCCACTAAAAAGTTGGAAAACGGAGTATAAGTATGATTATAGACTAATCTTGATTCAGTAAGACATTATAGTAACTAATTATAAGTGGTACCTCATATCTTCAAGATGAATCTGGAACATAGATATATCAGAACTGACTTTAGTTGGTTCGGTGATATGTGTTACACATCCTGTGAAATCTGAAATATGAAAATGTTTTAGTTGTTTTGTTCTATGTGATCTTTGGAATATACAATCTTTAGCACATCAATTTCTAATACAATCTGTTGAAATCAGTGGGTTAAGTATAAACAATGAATACCTGAGAAGCAAGGTGGAAGACTTCTTGAAGAACTACTGCCATTGAAAGGACTTTGAAAAAAACAATTATCTGGAAAATGCATTGTGCTCCGATATTCAATCATCGCTTTCAATGAAGATTCCTTTGTAAAATACAATCTCAAATCGAAAGGTGCAGTGCGACGTTTAAATCTAGCTGGTATGACAGTTGGATTCATCATGGTATAGAGACAACCAATCTCAATGTCTTTGCAAATATGAACAGAATCTTCATGGGTTATATTTGCTTCCATAAGTTGTCCCTAAAGGAGTTAAAATGTTACAAATGAGCTAAAAGTAACTGTAATGTGATAAGAGTGAAACCAGTAGGTGTTTAATGTTTAGAAATATACCTCTTTATCTAACCCAAGCATATGCATTGAGGTAATAGATCTAGTTCCATCTGACTCACATTCTGACCACATGTTTAACAGTCTAGCCATGAGGAAATGGTTGCTTGTTCCAAGACGAAGTTCACGAAAGGTTGTCGATTCAGCCATTACATCTAAAAGCAAAAGGGAAACTGAGTCATTACATCTAAAAGCATTCGGACACACCTCTTTTCAACTAATTGTAAGATACCATGTGAGTCTTGCGGCAACATTTTCCCTTCTGTTGTCGCCCAAAATAGCAGATCGGGTTTTGATAGAGTTTTGGGGCAGAAATAACTTCTTGCTCGAACTGTGAAAGAAGACAAAATGAAGAAAACAAAGAAAAAAGAAATAGAAAGAATAAAATGAATATGTAATACTTGCCAGTATGTAGATTCCCTATGGGGTCGAATGTGGGAGATGGGCGACTAGCACGGCTGCAGCTGCGCCGTATTTATTCTAGGGTTTCTCTTTCGACAAAACCAGCAGGCGAAGGAGAGAAACAGCAGCAGTTGTTTATTTTTCCCAAACAGTACCACTTTCAGCTGATGGAGGTGTTTTTATATGGGCCATTTTGCTGGTTATGTATGTGAACAGCGGCCACAGATCGATTGGGCTTTCATTTTTGGCCTTTTTTTTTGTTAAATAATTAAGAGGCTTTTAAGTTTTGGGTTTTTTGTTTTAAATTATTAATAGGCTATTAAGTTTTGGGCCGATGTTTTGTGAAATGAAGAGCAGCATTTTATTCTTGTCTGAAGGCATGTGCAGTTCTAGAGAGCAAGGAATTGAATCTTAGTGGAATTATGTGTTTTGAACTGCAAATCACGTAACGTGCGTCGTCGATGTTGAAAGATATTCGTAAGAAAGAGAGTTAGAACATTCAGAGGAACGAAGATAACTACAACTACTATTGGATTCCAATCTTCAACATACTATTAATTAAAGAAAGGCTAAGTACATATTTATAGGCATAGAAGCCTCTACCTTATCATACATAGAACATGACTCCTACTACTATAAGGGAATTACTAACTGTTTGAGCCTGGAATGTACCAGGCGTTTGATGATGAACGAGTAAGGCGCCTGTTCCAGCGGGTGGGTGTACTCCAAGCTCCTGCAAAACAAGGGTCTGTGGGCGGTCACCCCGGACACCCTCTGATGCTAAAGTTAGAAAGAGAAGGGAGATTTGTGTTTATGTTTAGAGAGAGAGAGAGTAGTTGAGTTACTATCAATGGAGGTATGAATGTATTTATAGTCCGTTAGGTCGAGTATAAGGTATTAAATGCTGTGTCAGGCGCCCTAGATACGCCTTGCTTTATCTGGACTGCCCGTCATGAGCAATTAATGCTAAGTTTTGCAGTATTCGAGGTGAGTATCCTAGGAAGATCTACTTTTCCTGCCACCAACGGTACTCTGTGTCGGGCGGCCTACTCCCTGTCCCATCGTAGTGTGGCTGCCTGCCGTTCTCCGTTCCCTATGCCCCTTTTTTGGACCCTCACTGGGCCTCGTTCGAGCCCTTCCTTTAGGCCTTACCTGGCCTACTCCTCATGGGCCCTAAGCCCAATACTGCTCAACTATGGGTCCAACAATTTTCCTTTAATCGGGAAAAGCTACGGGTTTTGGCGGCTACTAATCTTGCCGATGGTAGATGAGCGGTCTTTTTCGCATCCGCTGCCCACACCTTGCCCCTGGCCTCCCAAGAAACGGAGATTTTCCACCTATCGCCTGATAATCCTTCATAATGGGAACCACCCGATGTTCACATGCCCTTGTTGTTGTTCCTACCAGCTTCAGTAAACGCGATCGGTTGCGCTGTCCACCCCTCCTTTGACACGCGTACTATATAGTGCGCTCCTCTTCTATCCTCGCATTGTGATTTCCGAGTGCTTGCACTGTCCACCCCTTTTTAGTTCGCGAGCGACTCAACGCGGCTCGCTTTGATAATCCGCCCTTGCTGTTGTTCGGTCCTAGCTTCAGCAAACGCGATGATCGGTTGCGCTGTCCACCCCTCTTTTGACACGCACACCCTAAGTTATTCCTCTGTTGGCCGCACAGTGTGATTTTCGAGTGCTTGCACTGTCCACCCCCCTTTTTAGTTCGCGAGCGGCTCAACGCGGTTCGCTTCCATAACTTTACTTTGTATTTTTGTGTTTACACTGTGCGCCCTCTCGACTACTGTCAACCCGACTGCGCTTAACGCGATTCGCCTTTGATTGCTTTTGCCGATTCAACTTCCGCAACTTGTCGTACCGCTTGCATGTCCTTCCGCGTGTCGGTTCTTGGGAGTTGGGCTCTGACATGGGCAGCCCCCACGTCCAATCAGTTGCTCGTATTTTTGAACTTCCGAGACTAGGGTTTGTCTCGGTCACTCAACCGTCGCTTCGTTGCCCCCCCCCCCCCACGTCCAATCAGTTGACCGTATTTTTTAATTTTCGAGACTAGGGTTTGTCTCGGTCACTCAACCGTCGCTTTGTTGCCCGTATTTTTGAATTTCCGGGATCCACCTTAATTTCAAGAGAAAATAAAAAAAGGTATATAATTTGAGCACTTATACTATGCTTTAAAGTACAACTTGAAGTTGTATCATAACGTTAAAGGTATAAATTAGAGTTGTACCATAAGAGAATTTGACCTTTGTGTTGTGCTACAACTTCAACTCTTCAAATCGTACCATAACTTAAATATACAACTTTAATTTGTACCATAAATGGATTTTATAAAAGAGTATAGGTACAGTTTATAGTTGTACCATAAAAGTAAAAACTAAAATATCAGTGCTTTAAAACATTGTAAAATTTCTCAATTTAGGGGTTCTTCTAATGGACATTAAGTAACTATTTGGAATGGGATAAAGGTAACACTTTTGAGGTTTGGTCTATAATATGAAATCCGAAAATAAGGATGAACATCGGCTTGAGTTCAAGTCCTTAAGGCTAATTTTTTAAGAAAAATCTTAAAGCCTTCCTATTGGCTGATAGTGGATTAGATAGTTAATGGGGTTAGTAGTTAATAGGTAGTTAAGGGTAAATAGGGTTATGCAAATATAATTAGAATTAATATAAGTAATTAATGATTCTCTTTCTCTCTCCTCCCATGATTTTCTCCATAACTCTCTCTACATTATAATTAAAAAGAAATATGAAATTAATTTTATTTAATATTTATTAAAATCCGAATTTAATCATTTTTGTTTTCTAAAATGGAAATTTGAAATTTAAAATATATGCCTCTCTCACATCTTAGCAACTTCCGATTAATATTAAGTATTAACATTTTGTAATGACATTATCAATATTTATAAATTGAATCATCATTAGGGCTTTTTATTGCATGGGTTTGAGATTTTTCGTTGTTAGGTATTCGTTTGTGTTATTATTAATGTTGTTCGACATGTTTTTTAATAATTTTATATGACATTATTAACTTTTTATGTTATGTTTTGTTTGTAACATTAGCAAAAGTGAAATTGTGTTTTCAATTTGTTGGTACTTGAAGTTTATTTACGATTACATCGTATTATCAATTTGGTTCGCAATGATTTATAATTGTTGGGGGTGTTACTAAATACTCTACGCGCGGACTAAATAAGGGCGCGCTCAATCGGTAACGTGCTCGGGACGAACGCCACTAAGAAGTATTTAAAGACATGAAACTCCCCATTGAAAGGGACTTTTGGCTCTCCCTCCTCACTTTTCATTTTCCATTATCTCTCTACACATTATCTCTCTACCTTGTTCTCTCAACTTTCACCTTACAAAGAAGCTGACTTGATCGTCGGAGCTGAATCCGGGGGGCAACCCCGGCTCTTTCACAGGTTCTCTCCCTCCCGCCGAGATCCGACGAACGGATGACGAGTCAACCCACACCAACAAATATCATTGTTCATACCCGAGCTAGTAGGTTCAAACAATTGGCGCCCACCGTGGGGCTTGACTTCTACATTCTGTTCATCTGGTTTCTAAAAGAGGAGGAAATCTATGTAAATGAAAGATGAAGAAGCTTCATAAAAATAAAAATAAAAAGAGAATATTGAAGGAAAGAAAAGAAAGAAGTTGGTCGCAGATGAAGAAAGGAAGAGCTTTTCCTCCGCACCTACCTCCGGCAACGACAACAACAAATTGATCCAATATTTGCTTCCTACAACGGATCGACACGTGAAATGGAAAGAGTCCGAAAATTCCAGAAGTAGAGAAAATTCCAATGGACAGCAGCCACACTCTCTTCCCCGACTGCGCCTCCTGCTCGGTCCCAAAACCACCGCACGACGACAGTAACGGCTACGGAGAAAGATACCCAAGGAAGCCAATCAATATATATAAAAAAACAACAACGAACAGATTTCGACCGTCGGAGATTGATTTGGCTTAGGAGCTCCGACGAGAAGAGGAAGAAGTCCGGTAGTCTCCATCAGCTGTCACGTCGTCTCCCACAGCTTTTCCCCAGAAAATGGGTTATTGTTGTCTTCACGCCATGTCAGAAAAGTGATGGACACATATATCGAAGCAAGCACAGTCCCCGAGGTAAAAGAAGAGCGTAACGCTGGTCGTCGCGCAACGAACCACCGATCGCCTTCGTCGATGCCCCGCCAATACAGCCGGTAGCGCCACCGACCGCCACCCGACCAAATCACCTCTGTCAGCGTCGAGAAAGAAGACGCACTTTTCTACAGCAGCGCGGCTAGAGGACGACGCACCCTCCTTCCAACAGCAGCACGACAAGCGGTGTCGGCTATCCCCGCAGCCGCCAAAATCCTTTGGCGGCATTGCGCCTCTTGCTTCTCCGCGCACTCCGCGCACTCCCCGCACTCCGCTTCTCCGCGCACTACGCCCCTCCGCCGCCATCGCTAAAGCCAAGCCCAAATCCGACCGAGGCTGAGGCACCCAACCCGTCCGCGCCATGGGCGCCGCCGTCTCCGTCGGAGTCCGCCATCCTCCTTTGCCGAACTCCTCTCTAATGGCGATGCGCTTTCAGTTTTCCGCCCGTGCTTCAGCTTCTCATCAACCGCAAATCGCACTTCTAACTCCGCGCGGCGATTTTATCAATTAAAGCGAAGAAATTCCAACTCTTGCCGTGACTGCTCTAGTCGAAAACGAAAAAAAAAAAAAAAAAAAAAAAGAGAGATCTTCTCCCTCGGCGGCTGAAATCCGCTCAATTACCACGGGCAAACACACCCAACCAATGGTCAACCCGCCACTGTATGGGCCAGACCCGTCACACGTGAGCAGAGCCCACCACGACCGCTGCAGTACAACTAGGCCCGCCGCCCTCACAGCCTGTCCAAGACGCGACATGAGAAGCCCAGTTCGCGGCCCGCCACAACTCAGCCCGTCTCCGCCCCAGTGAAGCATCCCAAAAAACGCTCGCGGGTGTGGGGATTCGAACCTTGGTTCGACCATCCGCGTGCATGCAAATGGAACCAGTGGACTACATAACAACAATTGATCAGAAGAGCGAACGATACCAATTTATCTTCTTTCCCCTTCCCATACCAAGCCGCTCAAGCTTCTCATCTTACTCGCGCCATACAAGCCCGCCGGCGAGTGGGCCCGACACCAGCTCGCGGCCCACGTCTTCGCTTCTGACCCGCGTCTCAAACCTGTCGCGGTCCAATATTTCGAATCCGCCTCCATTCCGCTCCGCCAGACCCGACCTTTGAAGCCCAAGTCTCTGGCCCGCCAGACTACAAATGTAACGCCAACGCGTCCCCAACGCTCGCGGCCCAACTCGCGTTTCTCCCGAGCACCAACGTTCGCGACGCCCAACCAAGTCGCGGTCCGTGCCGCGCACTCCACCAGCCCGCGTCGCACCAGGCCCAATCCTTCATGCGGGCTCGCGTCACGCATCCAACAGGCGCCCCATCAAAAATAATTGTTGTCGCCGCGAGGGTTCGAACTCGCGCCACTCCTCCGAGTGGGTAAGCAACATCACCAGCAAGCTACAAGCCTTTAGTAATACTAAAGCGCGCCGCACTATATCTATTCACTCATTCGGCGGCCCAATTCACTCAGCAACGCGCAACATGGGCCGGCGCATCCTCAAGCCCGCTTGACAGCCCGCCGTATTACATGGGCTCGCTTCTCGTTCACAAGCGCGCGACAAGGGGAGCCCACGCACAACTCGCGGTCCACTTCACCTTCAGCCCGCCGGACACCGAACCCGTCGCCGCACTCCACAATCCCGCATCACATGTGCCCGCAAACCCAAACGCGCGGCCCAAATCATCTCCCGCGTAACAGACCACGGAATACCTCCGGCCCGCCAGCAATTCGGTCCACTTCCAAACATCAAGCCCGTGTCTGCACTGTCACGACCTTACTCTCGATCGTGCGGCCCTAGCTCTCAATTCCGTTAGAGCGCTAGGCAGCCTTTCTCTCAACTCACTTGAAAGCAAAGAACAAGAACAAAGACAAAGGAAATGGGAGAACTCTCTAGTGTGTATTACTCTCAAAAATGATGGAATGAGTACAAATGAGGGAGATGGCTCCTTATATAGGCCTCTCCACATACAAGGCATCAATGCCACTCATTAAGTCCCTCTACTACATCAATACACCCCATTAAGTCCCCCCATTATGCACTCTATCAATGTCACCATTATGTGACTCATAAGTGCACTATAAAGCTCTACATTATGGTGGAGAATCCTAGGAGCATCTCTATGCTACTAGTCTTCCATGCATGCCACATGTGCTGCTGCCATGTTGTCACCTTGTTGGCGCCATGTCATCTGCCACATGTGACATCCTCCCCCACCTATGCTCGCGACGCCCTCGTCGCGTCCTCTTGATGGAATGTCTCGATCAAGTCCTTGTTCTTCCAAAGCGTGAGCTCTTTCTCCCATGTTGCTTCACTCTCCGGAAGGTTGCGCCACTTGACTAAGTACTCCACAAAGCTTGGATGTACGCCGCGACGAGGAATGACACGACGCGCCATGATTTCTTCGACTTCATGGTCGTGTGTCTTGGTGACGAGTGTTGGTGCGCGCTGCGGCTCCCTTCGCTGCTCGTCCTCCTTGTCTTCGTGGTAAGGTTTGAGTTGGCTCACATGAAAGACCGGATGGATCTCCAAGTGCGTCGGCAGCTCTACCTTGTATACCACATTGCCAATCCTCTTCACGATGGGGAATGGCCCTTCATAGCGGCGAAGCAGTCCCTTGTGCACGTTCTTGAGATGCTTGAAGCGATGAGGGTAGAACTTGACCATCACCATGTCTCCCTCTTCAAACTCCAAGTGTCGTCGCTTCTTGTCCGCCCATTTCTTCATCTTCTTACTAGCGCGGGCTAAGTAAGACTTGGCCATCTCCACCTTCTCGTGCCAACCTTTAGCGAACTTGTAGGCCGCCGGACTGTTGCCTCTATACCCCGTTGCCACCGTCGTAGGTGTCAAAGGTTGCTGCCCCGTCGCCAACTCGAATGGACTTGTGTTGGTCGACTCGCTGCGGTGTAAGTTGTAGGAGAACTGTGCCGTGTCCATCAACTTCACCCAATCTCGTTGGTTTGCACTCACGTAGTGCCGCAAGTACACTTCCAACAAGGCATTCACCCGCTTTGAGGATGAAATGTCGTCGAGAAGTTCAAATTTGAGCCCATGATCTTGAACAACTCTCGCCAAAATCTGCCCGTGAAGCGCCCATCTCTGTCGCTCACGATGCTGCTAGGAATGCCCCAATACTTGACCACGTTCTTGAAGAATAGCCGTGCCGCATCCTCCGCCGTTAAGTCTTTTGGCCCAGGAATGAACACTCCATACTTCGAGAATCTGTCCACCACAACCATGATGCAACCGCATCCATCGACTTTGGGAAGTCCGATGATGAAGTCCATGCTCACACTCTCCCATGGTCGTTGAGGCGTGGGCAAGGGCTCTAGCAAGCCTGCCGGGCTTCTCTGCTCCATCTTGTCTTGTTGGCACACAAGACAAGTCTTCACATACATCTCCACGTCGTCTCTCATACGCGGCCAGAAATATGCTTCTTCGATGAGCGCTTGCGTTCTCTCGATGCCGGGATGGCCCGCCCACTTGGAATCATGGCACTCCTTCATGATCTCCTTCCTCAAGTTGGCCCATCTTGGCATGAACATCCGCTCTCCCTTGGTCATGATGAGCCCATCCTTCATCCAAAACCGCCGAGTTTTACCTTGCTCAATGTACTCCGCTACGGTTTTGGCGAAGGGGTCATGGCCAAGGCCTTCAACGATCCGCTCCTTCAAAGGAAACGTGGGCTGGCTGATGCTTGCGGCTGCACTCTTGCGACTAAGAGCATCGGCAACGGAATTCGCCTTGCCTGGATTGTACTCCATGACGAAGTCGAACACGGCCAAAAAGTCTTGCCACCTTGCTTGCTTAGGGGTGAGCTTCTTCTGCGTCAGAAAGTAGCTCGTTGCCACGTTGTCCGTCTCCACAACGAACTTTGACCCCAACAAGTAGTGCCTCCATGTGCGCAAGCAATGCACCACGGCCGTCATCTCCTTCTCTTGAACGGTGTATCGCCTCTCCGTCTCGCTGAGCTTCCGACTCTCGAAGGCAATGGGATGCCCTTCTTGCATCAACACGCCCCCAATTGCAAAGTCGGATGCATCGGTCTGCACTTCGTAGGTCAACGTCGGGTTGGGGAGCACGAGCACGGGCTCCTTCATCACCGCTGCTTTCAAGGCCTCGAACGCTTCTTGGCACCTTTCCGACCAATCACACGCCTTGTTCTTCTTCAAGAGATCCGTCAAGGGTGCTGCAATGTTGGAGTGGCCCTTGATAAACCTCCGATAGTAGTTGGCAAGGCCGAGGAATGACCGCAACTCTGGCACCTTCGTCGGCGGCTCCCATTCTTGGATTGCCTGCACCTTCGCTCCATCCATCTTCAACTTGCCTCCACCAATGACGTGCCCCAAGAATGGAACCTCCGTGGCGGCAAATGTGCACTTCTCCCTCTTGACGTACAACTCGTTGTCGCGAAGGACTTGGAAGACTTGGCGTAGATGCTCGGCATGCTCATCGAGTGTTTTGCTATACACGACGATGTCATCCAAGTAGACCACGACAAACTGGTCCAAGAATGGCTCGAACACTTGATTCATCAAAGTGCAAAACGTGGCTGGTGCGTTGGTGAGACCGAATGGCATCACAAGAAACTCGTAAGAGCCATACCTCGTCACACAAGCCGTCTTTGGCTCGTCGCCCTCTGCTATCCGCACTTGATAGTAGCCCGAGCGAAGATCTAGCTTGGTGAACCACATTGCATCTCCAAGCTGGTCGAACAAGTCGGCAATGTTGGGAATCGGCCACTTGTTCTTCACCGTCAACTTGTTGATGGCTCTATAGTCGATGCACATCCGCAACGACCCTTCCTTCTTCTTTTGGAACAGCACCGGTGCTCCAAAAGGTGACTTCGATGGCCGCATGTAGCCTGCGTCCACCAAGTCCTTGAGTTGCCTCCGCAATTCTTCTAACTCCGGTGGCGACATGCGGTATGGTGCTCGCGAAGGGGGCTTTGCTCCTGGCTCCAACTAGATCTTGTGGTCCACCTCTCTTCTTGGTGGCAGCTTCTTGGGCAACTCCGATGGCATCACATCATCGAACTCTTCGAGGACACCTTCGATGATGGGAGTTGTGATTCCCGTTGAGCCTCCTTCTTCCTCCGTCTTCAAGGACACAAGAAAGGTTGGTTCATTCTTCTTGAACCCCTTCACCACTTGCATGGCCGATAGAGCACTATGGGGACCATCTTCTCTCAAGAGATGAACCGAATGGAACTCCCCTTCCTTCTCCAAGCACATCGTGTTGGAGTTGGGCTTCAAAAGCACTCCCTCCTTGTCGAGGAAGTGGATGCCGAGGATGACTGGGTGATCGTCCATGGTGACGACGGAAAAGTCGATGAGGCCTTCCCACTCGCCAAGCTTTATTGGTACGTTGTGCGCCACTCCATGAATCGGGATGGGCTCCGAATTGATCGTCTTGAGCCTCCCTTGCCCCTTCTCGTAGGCAATACCCAGCCGGTTCGCCTCTTCGACGCGAAGAAAGTTGTCCGTGGCACCGGTATCCACCAAGGCTTTTGACTCGCCTTGCATGAATTGCGCCAGAACATAGCACCTCCCCCGCTTGCTCTCCTTGACGTCGGTCTTCGCCGCGCCAAGCTTGCGGATTGAGCCAATCTTGGCCTCCGCCGCCTTGGGCTCCTCATCTTGAGCTTCCATGGCTGCTAATCTCGCCTTTCTTGGGCAATCTCGCACTCGATGTGGTCCGTCGCAAAGGAAACAAGTCATGGGTTTTGGCTCGTACTTACCCCCTTTGCTCGAACCACCTTGGTGTTGTTGAGTGCGAGAACCCTCCTTGAAAGGCTTCTGCTGTTCTCCACCTTTGTTGGGCTTCGAACTCTTCTCTCTGCCGCTGCTCTCTTGTCGTTTGTACTCGACAAAAGACTCTGCCGTGGCCATGGCAGTTGCAAGGTCTTGCACTCCTCGACGTTGCATCTCCATCTTGGCCCATGGTTGCAGCCCATCAAGAAAGCCGTGCATGGCCTCCTTGTCCGTGATGTCCGGGATCTCTAGAAGCAGCTCCGAGAATTCTTTCACGTATTCTCGAACTCCACCCCTCTGGGTGAGTCTTCTCAACTTCGAACGGGCTTCAAACTCCACGTTCTCTGGGTAGAACTGCCTCTTGATTTCTCTCTTGAAATCTTCCCACATTACCATCACACAAGTACCTCTTTCGACGTCCGCTTCACGTCGCCTCCACCACACCATGGCAACATCAACCAAGTAAAGTGGAGCGGTACGAATCTTTACCTCATCCTCTTGGATGCCGGACGCCTTGAAGTACTGCTCAAGACTCCAAAGGAAGTTCTCTAACTCCCTCGCATTCCGTGAACCTCCGAAGCTCTTCGGTCTTGGAATATCAGCACGTGGGACGGATTGCACCGTGGCTGGTCCGCTAGCCATGGCTCTCTTCACGAGAGTGACCTCACTCTTGAGATCTGCAATCTCCTCCTTCACGCCGACCAGCTCAGCCTGGACTTGCTCTTTCACAACTCCAATGGCGTTGTTCAAGGATGTGGTGATGGTGTTGTTGATGAGGGCCACAAGCTCTTCTCGTAAGCCATCATTACCAATCTCCAAGCTCGACAAACGAGCATTCATACCTTGAAAATCGCTTTCGACTTGGGTGAAGTTTGCTCCCAAATCCTCGATGGCACTGATGTCTTCTGCCAACTTCACCTCCATTCTAGAGACACGCCTCTCTAGAGACGTCATAGGATCACGAGTGCTTGACTTCTCACCCTTTGGTTTGGGATTCTTCACGGTATCCCTTCCACGGTGCTTCTCATCGTCGTGGACTTCTGATCCCGACATTTTTGGTGAGGTTCTTCCTTTCCTTCTGGCTCTAGGTTCAACTTTGCTAGCACAAAGCCGAACCAGGCTCTGATACCACTTGTCACGACCTTACTCTCGATCGTGCGGCCCTAGCTCTCAATTCCGTTAGAGCGCTAGGCAGCCTTTCTCTCAACTCACTTGAAAGCAAAGAACAAGAACAAAGACAAAGGAAATGGGAGAACTCTCTAGTGTGTATTACTCTCAAAAATGATGGAATGAGTACAAATGAGGGAGATGGCTCCTTATATAGGCCTCTCCACATACAAGGCATCAATGCCCCTCATTAAGTCCCTCTACTACATCAATACACCCCATTAAGTCCCCCCATTATGCACTCTATCAATGTCACCATTATGTGACTCATAAGTGCACTATAAAGCTCTACATTATGGTGGAGAATCCTAGGAGCATCTCTATGCTACTAGTCTTCCATGCATGCCACATGTGCTGCTGCCATGTTGTCACCTTGTTGGCGCCATGTCATCTGCCACATGTGACAGCACCCAGTGAAGCGAAGCATTGAAAAAATCACTCGCGGGTGTGGGGATTCGAACCCGCGCCACTTCTCTGCCGAACAGACATGTCAGCCAACAGACTACGTACGCATCTTTTGATTTGAAGGCGCAGCGTCTGCCTTTTAAGTACTCTTGGCGCTCAGGCCCACGACGCATCCGCAACCCACACTCGCGCACCATGCAGCTCAACACTCGCGGCCAGACTCGCAGGCGGCCCAACTCGCGGCCCGCGTTCAACAGACAAGATTCCTCAAAAAAGAAATTGTTGTAGCCGCGAGGACTCGAACCCGCGCCACTCCACCCCTAGACAAGCAACGTCACCAGCAGGCTACATGCACGCTTGGTGATCATTGGGCGCAGTACTCTCATATCAACGAACCCGCGCCATCACCAACTCCCGTCAAAAAAAATTGTCGTCTATCCCTTGGTGATCATTCTGCTCCAAGGGCGCAGCGTCTGCATTTTAACAACTCTTCGCGCCGCTTCGCCAATAGAAAGCTAAGTACTCTATCCCTTTATCACTATCAAATATTGAAATATTTTATTTGAAATATTTTACTCTCATGAGCGTTAATGGCGCTAAGGGAGAGGGCACATTGCCTCGAAGACTCCAAAATGAGGGTTAAAAACCCCGACGAGGAGGGCTCCAAACTGAGGGTTAAAAACCCCGACGAGGAGCCACAAATAAGTCTCAACGAAGCACACAAATAAGACTTCAATAAGAGCATCGAAGACTCCAAACTGAGGGTTAAAAAACCCCGACGAGGAGGGCTCCAAACTGAGGGTTAAAAACCCCGACGAGGAGCCACAAATAAGTCTCAACGAAGCACACAAATAAGACTTCAATAAGAGCATCGAAGACTCCAAACTGAGGGTTAAAAACCCCGACGAGGAGCCACAAATAAGTCTCAACGAAGCACACAAATAAGACTTCAATAAGAGCATGGAAGACTCCAAACTGAGGGTTAAAAACCCCGACGAGGAGAACTCCAAACTGAGGGTTAAAAAAAAAAAAACCGACGAGGAGAGCTCCATGAAGAATCTACAATGAGTGAAGGCTACACGCCTTAATGAAATACACCAACTGGGGGGCAAGACGCAAGAAGCTGGCACCGCGTCAGTCAAACGCGCCACCAGCTGGGGGGCAACTGGGGTACATAGGGCTCCACCCAAAATTACCGACGAAGAATAAAAAAAAAGTAATAAGCTAGCGATGAGTTAAGACTCACCACCAGCTTGGGGGGCAATTGTTGGGGGTGTTACTAAATACTCCAAGCGCGGACTAAATAAGGGCGCGCTCAATCGGTAACGTGCTCGGGACGAACGCCACTACGAAGTATTTAAAGGCATGAAACTCCCCATTGAAAGGGACTTTTGGCTCTCCCTCCTCACTTTCCATTTTCCATTATCTCTCTACACATTATCTCTCTACCTTGTTCTCTCAACTTTCACCTTACAAAGAAGCTGACTTGATCGTCGGAGCTGAATCCGGGGGGCAACCCCGGCTCTTTCACAGGTTCTCTCCCTCCCGCCGAGATCCGACGAACGGATGACGAGTCAACCCACACCAACAAATATCATTGTTCATACCCGAGCTAGTAGGTTCAAACAATAATCATTTGAAGTGCTATTATCAATATTTTTTTCCAAGCACAATACAACCATTAGCAAAAATTTAATTCATTTGTAAGATTGCTTATGTTTAGTAATTTGAATTATTAATATTTTTTCGTTTATGTTTGTAACTTTGTCAAATGTCATTATCAAGAAGCATACTTGTTAGATATTCGTTTGTTTATGACATTATCAAAAGTGAATTTACGTTTAAAGATATAACTATGGTTATTAATCTTTCAGTCTAAGTTAGTAACGTAGTTGTCATTATTAATAGGCGTGTATAAGCATTATCAATGTTTGAAAATAAGATATTAATAATATCTAATAAGGTACTTAACAATCATTAGTTGCTATCATTATCAAAGTTTTTGGATACATTGTCTATTAAACACATGTGACTTATTAATGCGTTTTTAGTGCTATTTGACATTAAACATTGCATCAGAATATTATTAATATTTTTATATTACAAAAATCTATTTCCTTATCAGTGACTTGATTCGATATTAATGGGTTTTAGTATCTTTATTAAAAGTTTGATGTCATTTATAATGTTGAAGTCGGATATTTTTACATTGATGTTTTGTGTTTATTTTCAATGAAATACTTTTCGTTATCAATGATTTATTGTATTGTTATTAAAAGTTTGGTGTTGAGGCGTGAATGTTGGTTTGCTTGAGCTAATATTTTCTGGACAATGTTTGTTTGACTGAATCACACAGGTGCACTATGTCACAAGTACCCAAGATGTTGAAAATTAGTATTGTGCTTTATGATCATTAAGAATGATAATGTAAATCAATATTAATTGACCATAAAACGTTAGTAATGTCATTAGAAATCATTGGAAGAGGCCATGACTAGATAGTTATAAACATGATGTGAAAATGTGAATCATTAGTATTAAAGATGTTGTAAATCAATGATATTGTTATTCAAACTATTAATGACTATGTTACATAACTTTAATGATTCATTCATAGGCGTTGATGACGAAACTATAAAACAGTAACAATTGATCCAAAATTGTTAATAATGTAATTGTAAGGAATTGATAAGTATGTTGAAGTCGTTAATAATGATGAGGTATAATAATGATTCATTTCACAAATTTTGATAATGTCATTGCAAAATGTTAATACTGTATTGCAAGTTGCCACGAAGTGAGAGAGCATATATTTTTAATTTTCAATTTTCATTTTAAAAAATAAAAAATATTAAGTTCGAATTTATTAAATATTAAATAATCGTATTTAATTAAATTAATTTCGAATTTCCTTTTAATTGTAGTGGAGAGAGAGCGTTATGGAGAAGATCAAGGGGGAGAGAGAAAGAGAATCATTAATGACTAATATTAATTATATTTTCATATTATCTTATTCATTCCAACTAACTATTAACTACTAACCCCTTTTAACTACCTAATCTAGTATCAGTCAATAAGAATGGTTTAAGAACCTCCTTAAACAATGAGGCTTAAGGACCGGATCCAACCCAATGAACATCTGTACATTAGACTCGCCATTCAGGAATGTGATTTGAGCAGCAAATCAATATCAACTAGTTTTCATACAAAGAGAATTACATAAGACCTCATATAATTCAGCATTCTTTTTGTTCTCTAATCATCTTTCTCCACAAACTCTCCCTCCAAATAAATTTTGATACATTTTATCTTAATGAGTAATGCGTTATCTAATAATGATATTTTGAAAATTGATATTCAACTAGATAGCTTTAGCTAGGTATGTGTGATATGAGGATGGATAAGTGGTTTGGCGGAATAGATGGAATTGATATGTTTTTTATAATATTTATATGACTAAACAAATCGATGAATTATACGTTCATTATTAGAAGACATTTGAAACACAAATCTCACTTATTGTACAGTTTTGACTCTAAACTATGAGTTTGTCCTCCCATACGTGTTGTCATTACAACACATTTTAGCGGTTTATGTGTTTATATGACTAAACCAATATGATGATCTAAATCACAAAGTAGCATATATGTATCTATTTAAGTGCTTACTTATCAAACACACCATGTTTTCATATAGAAAAAATAGCGTTGTTATCAGTTTCCGTTTGGTAAGTATTGAAACACAATTTTTTCCATAATGAGATACATGAATAATAACATTCAAAGTTAAATGATTGGTGAAATTATGAATGATTCTTTAATAGGTTCAACACACTGAGATTGACATCTTACTACCCTCGTTTGGCACGAAGTATAGCGTTAGTGACAGTTCTGGCCCCATTTTTTAAAATCAGACATTTCTGGCCCACTTTTCAAATTATCGGACAAACTTGGCCTGTGGGATGGTTTGACTGTCAGATTTGACGGTCAACCATTTTCTCCGTTGCTGACTCAGTATTCGACTCTGACGTGGCTTGTCCACGTCATTTATTGTTATTTTCTTTAAAAAAAACATAAAGGGAAGGAGAGACACGAGGACCACAGCAGCCCTACCATTTCCCCTTCGTCTTCTTTCTTCATGCCTCACCCCACCATACCAGAGCTCCTCTGAAAAACCAAATCGGAGTCGCCAGCCCTCGTCGCCCGTGTCACCGCCACCGCCAATCCTCTTCCTCTTCGTCGCCTTCCCTCGCCACCTGTGATAGACCGATAATTACACATGTTTTCACCCCTATTCTTGAGCCGTTTGAGAGGTTGACTCTCGGGTTTTAAGCCGATTTCACGCGAGGTTGTGTGTTTATGTCGTATTTCAGGACCCGGCGTTGGAATCGAGGCGAAGGAGCGAGATTCGGGTCGAAAGGAGCAAGTGAGGCTTGAAGTGTGCTGGAGGAAGAAAATACCCGGCCATGACCAAAAATACTCGGCCGGGTATTATTCTTAGGAGGCCGGGTATTTATTGTTTTGGCACCCGTGAGAAACAGGAGGGGTCCCGGGCTGAAGGCAAAAATCCCCGACTGGGGATTCTTGGGACAGACCGGGTATTTTTCCCTTCCTCAAAACGTGCGTTTCAACTATACCCGGTCGAGACCCAAAATACCCGACCGGGTATTTCGACCGGGTATCGCGACAGGCAGCAGTTTTAAGGGAAAAGAAGGCTGAAAATCAAGGGATTAGAGTTTTGAGAGAGAGAGAGATCGATTCCTAGAGTGAGAAAGTGACGAACAAGAGTTCCCAAGTGCCCTAGCTTGATCTTCATCACCATTGGAGCTTGGCTTGAGCTTGGAGAAGTGTCGATCAACGTCCAGGAGCAGAAATCCATTCTTCGTAGTATGATTTCTGCGTCTGAATCTGTTTTTGCTTCTTTCTCTATGGAGTAGTTCTCCCATTCATGTGGGTATGGAGAACCCTAGATTTGTATGTTAGGTCTGATTGTATGAACCCAAGTACAGATTTCATGAGTTGATTATATTCGATTGAGGCTTGAATGATTGAATGACTTGAATCCTTATCAAATTCCTGTTGTTTCTGCTTTAACCTAGAATGAGAATATCTGCCTAGGTTGATAGATCATCCTTGATTGAAGGTAGGGAGTTGGTGACTTTAGTCGAGGAGCCAACTCACTATTCTGTACCGAATTCACTTTGGTAGTGGAGGTTTTGTTCGTAGGGCCTCAATCTGTTTACTCCGTTGGAGGTTATTCGCCCGCTGGACACTCAGATTGAGAGGGTCTGGAGACCTTTAGTCAAGACTTCAGACTGCTTAAGAACCTTCCGCAGTATAATTTTCATGGAAACTGAACTTGGTAAATTGCAATCCGGCTTAACTGCAGTCTACGGGGAACCATATCCGGGTGACCTCTCTTAACCTGAAAACAACCGTTTACTTGCTTTGTTTGTTTGTTAGTTTAGACTTGCATTAAAGTTTCATTGCTAGATAACAAGAATTCACCGAGTAGTCATCAAATCTAGGACCCGGGTTGACATTAAAACCCAAACCCGCTATACTGCGTGCTGGGAATAAACAGGCTACTTTCTCTGTGACTGAATTCGATCACTGTGCTATGATTGTTGTCACACCTGTTCATGCCATTTCTGATCAGGTACATGAGTCTGTCGTGTATCCTTCTGCACCTCTCATTTTGCAGGACCCTCCTATCATTCCTTCGCCGCCACTCCATCTAGTCTCGCCTCCGAACAAAACGATCAAGGAGGAGTGGCGGCCGAAGCAGCAGGTTGCTAAGCCTGCACGGAAGAAGGGTGGAGACCACTACGAGCTGGTTCCAACCCCTGCACCACGACCACCCTGGCCATCCGAGTACTCACTCGCCTGCATCTTGCCGGATGGCCAGGTCGAGCTGACCAATGCTGGTGGTTGCACCCGTCGGGTGCATGGCCACAACCTGAAGCTATACCTCAAGAGCGACGTGGATCCGCTCTTGGAGGCACCTGTTCCTACACCTCCCTGAGTATCCACCAGGGGCGTCCAGCTAAAAGACGGTAAAGAAGCGCTTATGGGGAGGCAACCCCACCACGGTTTTAATCTCTTTCTTTTGTTTTGAGTTGGATTGTAAACCGGTTTGGGTTTAGTTTCTTTCTTTTTATTTTGGATGCTGTACTATTGGGCTTACCATTAGACCTGACGTATTGTGTTTGAGCTCTTTGGTTTCCTTTAGCTGTGCTTGTCTTGACTGGTCCTCTCTCCAGTCCGCTTCACTCCGACTGGTCCGTTTCCAGTCTCCTGCAGTCCGTACATACCGGTAACATCGTTCCCCTTTCCTTCCCTCTTCTCCATTGAGGGCAATGTCGATCTTAAGTGTGGGGGGATGTTTATCTTTTGACTGCATTAGATCTGTTTGTGTGCTTGGAGCCTAGTCCACTGTCCAAATTTTTAAATTTGAGGGCTCCAAGTACGTGTTCCTTGCAATTGCCTGCTCAGTATGCTTTGAATTGACAGTCTTTATAGTAATATGCAACCTAGGGAGGTAGTGTAGCACTATGGAGGATGTTGATGCATTTAAGAAGTCTCATTTCATCTTCATATTGTGTTGGTTGATTGTACGAATTAGTGATCTTAGGACTCTTGAATTGTGTGGTGATGTGGACTCTCTACCTGTCATGGACTCTTGTATCATGTTTTTGAAATAAAAGGTGCTCGAAAATGTGCTTTAAAATAACGTCTCCCGTGCGAATAGGGCGAAAGTGTGTAAGGGGAGACGGGAATCCTTTCCCAATTTCCACCTACTACCTCCAGCCCCCTTACATCTCTTTCCCCTGCACGAGGCTCGAGACATCCGCTCCTGGCATGGCCGGTAAGAGCCGGGCTCCCGCAAAACCTCTGCTAGGTGGGAGCCCCCATTTTCTGAAAAGCAAGTTGGGACCCTTGAAAAAAAAAACAGAAAACAAGCAAAACAGAAAGAAAAGGGGTTCCAACCATCTTCAAGAAGGAAATAGAGCACCTTAAAAAGGCGAGTCCATGATTTTTTGTTTTTGAGAGTCCACTCGTCCATGATTCATTTGTCCTCTGCTCACTATTTGCCATGATGCCGACTCGAGACTAGCGTTCTCGCCGAAGGAGCTATGAGATGACTTGTGCGTCGGTTGACCTCGTGAGCTGCTAAATGATCTAGGACGTCTTGTTTGTTGCTATAGAGGTCTGGAGAGTTGCATTGGTTTGAGCTAGGTTTGCTTGGGGACAAGCAAACGGTTAAGTGTGGGGGAGTTTGATAGACCGATAATTACACATGTTTTCACCCCTATTCTTGAGCCGTTTGAGAGGTTGACTCTCGGGTTTTAAGCCGATTTCACGCGAGGTTGTGTGTTTATGTCGTATTTCAGGACCCGGCGTTGGAATCGAGGTGAAGGAGCAAGATTCTGGTCGAAAGGAGCAAGTGAGGCTTGAAGTGTGCTGGAGGAAGAAAATACCCGGCCATGACCAAAATACCCGGCCGGGTATTATTCTGAGGAGGCCGGGTATTTATTGTTTTGGCACCCGTGAGAAACAGGAGGGGTCCCGGGCTGGAGGCAAAAATCCCCGACCAGGGATTCTTGGGACAGACCGGGTATTTTTCCCTTCCTCAAAACGTGCGTTTCAACTATACCTGGTCGAGACCCAAAATACCCGACCGGGTATCACGACAGGCAGCAGTTTTAAGGGAAAAGAAGGCTGAAAATCAAGGGATTCGAGTTTTAGAGAGAGAGATCGATTCCTAGAGTGAGAAAGTGACGAACAAGAGTTCCCAAGTGCCCTAGCTTGATCTTCATCACCATTGGAGCTTGGCTTGAGCTTGGAGAAGTGCCGATCAACGTCCAGGAGCAGAAATCCATTCTTCACTGTATGATTTCCGCGTCTGAATATGTTTTTGCTTCTTTCTCTATGGAGTAGTTCTCCCATTCATCTGGGTATGGAGAACCCTAGATTTGTATGTTAGGTCTGATTGTATGAACCCAAGTACATATTTCATGAGTTGATTATATTCGATTGAGGCCTAATGATTGAATGACTTGAATCCTTATCAAATTCCTGTTGTTTCTGCTTTAACCTAGAATGAGAATATCTGCCTAGGTTGATAGAGCATCCTTGATTGAAGGTAGGGAGTTGGTGACTTTAGTCGAGGAGCCAACTCACTATTCTATACCGAATTCACTTTGGTAGTGGAGGTTTTGTTCGTAGGGCCTCAATCTGTTTACTCCGGTGGAGGTTAGTTGCCCGCTGGAGACTCAGATTGAGAGGGTCTGGAGACCTTTAGTCGAGACTTCAGACTGCTTAAGAACCTTCCGCAGTATAATTTTCATGGAAACTGAACTTGGTAAATTGCAATCCGGCTTAACTGCAGTCTACGGGGAACCATATCCGGGTGACCTCTCTTAACCTGAAAACAACCGTTTACTTGCTTTGTTTGTTTGTTAGTTTAGACTTGCATTAAAGTTTCATTGCTAGATAACAAGAATTCACCGAGTAGTCATCAAATCTAGGACCCGGGTTGACATTAAAACCCAAACCCGCTATACTACGCCTTAGCAAGTGGTTTCACTTGGCCATTTTCTAGGGTGACAGTAGGAGCGAGTCAACCTGCTATCTATCGCGACGAAGCCTCTTCGGCGCCAAATCCAGCCCTCGTAGCCGCCGCCAGCCCTCTTCGTCGGCTTCCCTCGTCGCCTGCCATTTATCGCGGCGAAGCCTCTTCTTCGCCAACCCACTTCGTCGCCAACCCATCGAGAGGAAGCAGCCATGTCATCTGCTAAAAGGGGGGAGGGGGAAGTTCAGCGGGTTCGATTTCTACAAACAGACCCATCGAGAGGTGCAAGCACAATGTTCCATGTATGGTGCAGATGTCGAGAACAGAGGACAATCCGGGGAGAATGTTCTATTCCTGCCCATATTGGCAGGTATAGTTTTCGATAAGTCTCAATTTGTTGCCGAAATGGTATTCTTCTTTAAATTTAATCAAGTTCCTTCATGTAGGATGCTAAGAAAGGTTGTCGTCATTTTAAGCGGTGTGATCGGAGAACATCAGCAAATTCAAGTGTGCTTGAATCTTTTATGGAGGAGAATGCTCTGTTGAAATCGAGAATCTGTGAGATGGAAGCTGATAACGATGTAATTGCATGTATTTGCACCCCTAATTCTTATCCGTTTAAGAGGCATAGTCGTGTATTTTGGCCTATTTTACGCCGGGTTGTGCTATTTTGTCATATTTCAGGTCCCAGGCGTCAAAGGGAAGGCTAAGCACGAGTTTTGGGGCATTCGGAAGTCATTTCGGTGAGCCGGAAGTCATTTCGGTGCTTTGGCCAGTGATGCCCTTTTAAGCAGATTTTCAGCCAAAGAGAAGGGGATTCGAGTTTTAGAGAGACAGAACGATTCCTAGAGAGAGAAAGTGACGAGCAAGACTTTCCAAGTGCCCTAGATTGATCTTCAACACCATTGGAGGCCAGTTTGAGCTTGGAGAAGTGCCGATCAACGTCCAGGAGCAGGAATCCATCCTTCACAGTATGAATTCCGCGTCTGATTCTGCTTTTGCTTCTTTCTCCATGGAGTAGTTCTCCTATTCATCTGGGTATGGAGAACCCTAGATTTGTATGTTAGGCTTTGATTGTATGAACCCAAGTACTGATTCTATGATTTGATTATATTCGATTGAGGTTTGAATGATTGAATGACTTTAATCCTGATCAAATTCCTGTTGTTTCTGCTTTGACCTAGAATGAGAATATCTACCTAGGTTGATAGAGCATCCTTGATTGAAGGTAGGGAGTTGGTGACTTTAGTCGAGGAACCAACTCACTATTCTGTACCGGATTTTCTCTGGTAGTGGAGGTTTTGTTTGTTAAGGCCTCAATCTGTTTACTCCGGTGGAGGTTAGTCGCCCACTAGAGACTCAGATTGAGAGGGTCTGAAGACCTTTAGTCGAGACTTCAGGCTGTTTAAGAACCTTCCGCAGTATAACTATCAGAGAAACTGAACTTGGTAATTACAATCCGGCTTAACTGCAGTCTAGGGGGAACCATATCCGGGTGACCTCTCTTAACCTGAATACAACCGTTTGTTTGCTTTGTTAGTTTGATAGTTTAGACTTGCATTCCAGTTTCATTGCTAGATAACAAGAATTCACTGAGTAGTCATCAGATCTAGGACCCGGGTTGATAATTAAACCTAAACCCGCTATACTACGCTTTAGGAAGTGGTTTCACTTGGCCAATTCCTAGGGTGACAGTAGAAGTGAGTCAGAAGCTGAGATTGTCACTTTAACTCAAGGGTTTATACTCTTCCGTGGATTAGTCCTGGACATTCTAGGGATACAACGTAAATCCGGTGCCAGTTCTTTGATTTCTTGTTCTCATTTTCGTACAGTTCACATCAAATTCAGATAAGCTATCATGGTATCAGAGCCTTCTTCGTCATGGAATCTGATCGGCCCTCTGTCAGGCTTACTTCAACGAACTACGCCCTCTGGGAATTCCAATTCCGTGTCTTTATTGAAGGACGTGGCCTTCTGAGCTTTCTCTATGTAACGTGTCCTCGACCTCTGGCTACTGCACCAATTCAGGAACAAACTCAATGGAATCAGTGTGATGCGCGGGTTCGTCATTGGTTGCTGGGACCTGTGGACCCATCGACATGCTTGAGCCTCCGTCTGTTTCCGACGGCCAACGCAATGTGGAGACACCTGGCCTCGACGTACTCTACTGTCAATGTTGCACGGCGATTCGAGATTCAACTCGCCTTGGCTAGGCTGGAGCAAGGTGATCGATCAATCAATGAGTATTACAATGCCGCGACGAAGCTTTGGACGGAGCAAGATATTCTTACTGCTATACTGCACTCTCAGACTGCTGCGATCAAGGAACGTCAGCAAACCCGGATGCTCAACTTCCTCATGCGTCTGCGACCCGAGTTCGAGACTGTCCGCACTACACAGTTGAATAAGGTTGATTTGCAGTTTGAGGGGCTGCTGTCTCACCTGGTTCACAAGGAGATTCGGATCCGCACTCAAGCAAATCTTGATATTCGCCCTGGCGCTAGCGAAACTGTGCTCGCTGTCACTAATCAAGATTCAGCCTATTCGGTAACTCGTCCCTACTTTAATAATCGTCACGTTCCTACTGATATTGAGTGTCACTTTTGTCATGAGCGGGGTCATCCAAAGAAGAATTGTCGTCAGTGGAATTTTTGCGTTTACTGTAAAAGAACTGGGCACATAATTCTTGAGTGTCGGACTTGGCAGCGGAATGATGCTAGGGCTGCTGGGGGAGGATTTAATGCCCCACGTTCTGATCATGTTAATGTTGCTAGGGGAGGATTTAATGCCCCGCGTTCTGATCGCCCTTCGGCTGGGCCTATGGGGAGGCCCTTTATATCTCGTTCAGCTCATCCTGCCGCAATGGAGCGCCCAGCCCATGCAACGACTCTCTCGGCCAGCAATAGTCAGCTCGAAATTGGCAACAGCAGTGGGGGAAACTTCTCGGCAGTAGATATTGAGAATATGGTGAATGCGGCTTTACAAAAGTCATTACCTACTGCTATTAGTGCTGCTTTCGCTACGCTCCATGGTTCAGGTAACACTGCTCCCTGGTTACTTGACTCCGCATGTTTTAATCACATGACCCATGCATCGAGTAACTTGAGTAATGTTATTCCGGTTAAAGACATGTCATTAAGTGTGGCAAATGGGGGTAAACTTCATGTTCAAGGCGTGGGATTGATGCATAAACAAAATTTGATTTTGCCTAGCACTTTACATGTTCCTGGTTTGGTTCCAAATTTGGTGTCAGTGGGACAACTTACTGAATAGGGTTGTTCTGTTTTATTTGCACCGTCGGGATGTGTTATACAAGATTTGAAGACGGGGAGGAAAATCGGAAAGGGGAGTAAGCAGGGAAGAGTTTTCCATTTAGATGAGCTTCGTGGGAGTCAAGTGCCATCCTCGGTTAGGAGTTCGGGTGTTAGCAGTCCTGTTTCAGTTTTCAATTTGTCAAAACCTGGTTCATGTGATTCGGCTATTCCTTTTTCTTTTTCAACTTTGTCAAATAATGTCTGGGACCTATGGCACTCACGCTTAGGTCATCCTCATTCTGGTCGCCTTGTAACGATGTTTCGTCAATCTTTACTTGATAAAAATCATGTCAATCTTTCCGCTCCTCATTCCTGTACTAGCTGTGTTGAAGCCAAAATTATTAGCACTTCTTATCCGTCCAGTACCATTGTGATCACCAAACCATTTCATATAATTCATACTGATCTCTAGGGACCTTCTCCTGAAGCTTCACCTCGTGGCTATCGTTACTTTGCTTTATTCATCGATCATGCTACACGTTTTACTTGGCTTTATTTCCTTCAACTTTAATCTGAACTAAAATCCGTGGCCACTAATTTTTTGAAAATTATCCAAACCCAGTTCGACCGCCCAGTTAAAATCATCCGTTCAGATCCTGGCGATGAATTCAGCTCTTCACCTCTGTATGAAGTGTATCGTTCTCTTGGTATTTTAATTCAGCAGTCCTGTCCGGGTGTCTCCCAGCAAAATGGTTTAGTGGAACGGAAAAATTGTCATGTTATGGATTTAACTCGAGCTCTTCTGTTAGCGTCTCATGTTCCTGGTCGTTTTTGGCCTGAGTCAGTTTCTACTGTTGTTCGTCTCATCAACTACCAGGTCACTCATGTTCTTAATAACACCAGTCCCTTTTCGCTCTT